TAGGGGCCCGTTTTAAAAGATTTATAACCGTAAATTGTAATACCTATATAATATTGAAGATAAAACGATAAATTAAACGAAAATTTCAAGACCGTAATTATAGACCTAGTAAGAGACTCGTTATCGATTTCCTAAATTATAATAAAAGCCGCTAAGGATATTCCAATATTATATTTATTATTTATCGGTATACTGGCTGTATTTAAGATTATTATATAATAAATTGCGGAATCATAATTATTACCTCCTTCTTAAACGACCTTTTTATTATATTTACCGTCCGATATAATATTTAATTTAAAATTATCAAATATAATAATAAAATTATTAGTTCTAAAGTAATAAAAAAACTTCCTCTCTTTTAAAGGGATAATTATAGAGCCCTCTACCTTAAATACTTAAATATAGAACGGTAATATAAAATGTTGGAGAGGTATAATCAAAGAGAAATTTCCAACGATAAATTTAAATATATATATTATACAAGATTTATAATTAGATGTTATTTCTGTAACGGTCTATTTTATTAACCGATCGCTTAAATAGCTCTATAATTAGAAATTCCCGTATAAATAGTTTTATACTTTTATTACTTACCGAAACGGCCTTAATATAACGTCCCTACGCAAACTAAATATAATATACCTACGTATTTATAGTTATAAAGCGTATATAATAATTATTACTGCCTAAAAGAAGGAGTAGAGGCGTTAGAAAAGAATCTTAAGGTTTAAATTAAATACTTCATTGGTTATATAACTTCCTTAATCTACTGTATATAAAATTTAATTACAAATACAATTATTAATACCTATATTATATTATTTAATAAAAATACCCTTTTTGCTAGGGAGGTACTAAAGGAAATATAATCTCTATAAATTACCTTTAACGAATTTACAGTATTAGTTAACTAATATAATTAATTTTAATTAGCGTTAAAAATATTAAACTTTGTAAATAATTGAATCGATTTGGAAAACGCTTAAATATATAACCTCTTAAATTTACTATTAAAATTAAATTAAACCCCTTAAAAAAGGGAGACCGACCGCGGTTCTCTAATACTTTAGTTAGAAAGTTTAAATTCCTCTACTAATAAAACATCTTTCAACTTTATTTTTAATAAGGATTACCCTACTCTTTTTAATATATTAACGCCCGCGTCCTTTCTTATAAATTTTTACTTCGATAAACGTATAAAAGACGAAATTTATTACGGTTTCGAACTATAGAAAGCTATATTCAATGTAAGAAGACTATACTAACCTATAGCTAAATATTATAATAAAGTAATTATGAAAGTAAAATTAGAAGGCTTTTCCCGGAAAAATAAAATTATTACTTAAAAGGAATTCGATTTTTTCGTTTCTATAAATAAACTCTCAACTATCTACTGTTAAAAATTATTACTACTACTAAAGAATTATAAATCTTTTAACCACTACCTCTTCGAGGATTTTTTTAAAGAAATTGAGTAAATCTATTTTAATAGTTATAAAGAAATAAGGATTTAAGTAGAAGTCGATAAAGACGAACCTAAGATTAAAAGGAAATAATTATTTAATTATATATAAGTATAAATATATAAGTTTTTTAAAAACGTTAAATTTAATAAGGTTAAAGTACATTTTATTGTATATAAAGACTAATAAAAGAAGGATGTAAAGTAAGAAATATATACTTGTATATTCGCTAACTAATCTTTCCGTACCTTTATCGCTATAATTATACGCTTTAATTTCGAATTTATTTAATACGACGCCGTTAATACCTTCGTTAACGTTTATATAAATAAGAAAATTTATATATATATACCCCTAGGATACTAAGTATTAAATAAGGTATTAAATATTATAAAAGTATTATATGGGCTGTAGTGTTCCCTACTTTTCTAGTAACGCGAATTTACTAATGCGTTTACCACCCTAAATTTCGAAATAATCCTAAAGGAACTCTATATCTTTATAATAATGATATATTCGTTTTTTATTACGTTAATAATATTATTTTTACCTTCTACTGTAATAAAAGCGAAGAAGCCTATAAATATATAAATAATTTTAAATAACGATATTATTTTACTAGAAGTAAAGAACTATAATAATTCCTAGGTATTAAAATTATATAAAACCGCAAAATACAAAAGATCTAATTACTTTAACGGTTATACCTATAGAAAATCTACCGCCTTATAGATAATAAAAGAGTAATATAACTACCTATAACTAATATCGAGTTCGCACTCTTTAAAGACAAAGCATTTAACAAATTAACATACTAATATTAAATTAAAATCAGTTCTATTTTTTACGTAATAGTTATAATACGACCGGATATTACCTTTGTTATAAGCTGCCTCGCTAAATATAATTACAACCCCAATTTAAACTATTATAAGGCTATAAATAAAGTACTATATTACCTATATACTACCGCAAATATGATATTATACTATAGAAGCGAGAATACTTTATAAATTGCGTTAAATATATCCTTTATAAATAATTCTATATATTGAAAGAACTTATATAGTTTTATTATTAAACTCTTTAGCAATTTAATATATTAAGGAATTACTAAATAAACGACTATAAATATATTAACGATTAAAATAGAATTTATTACCCTCTTAAATGTAGTAAAAGAAACTATTTTTATAATACGTTTAATACGAAGTTTAATTATAAAATTCGTAGATCCTATCCCTACTATTAATTATAATAATAAGTAAATAATTAGGGTAATAATAATCGAAGCCTCCAAACTAGTAACTAAATTAAAGTATATAGATATTTATAGGTACTAACTTAGATAAGAGGTTATAATTAAGACTATTAAGATTAGGTATTTAGAAATAATAAAAATACTTATAGACGGGTTAACGAAGGTACTATTTGCGTAGAAATATATAGAATTTAGAGGATTGCTAAAAATAATTTTAATTAAAAACAAGAAGGAAAAAAAGGGATATATAATAAAGTATATTAAATTGGAAGACGTAGAGGAAATAATTAGAGATAGGAAGGCGATATATAAATAGTTTCAGCTTTATCCCTAAAAGGGATTTCAATTGGGGAAGTATATTAATTTAGTAGGTTATATTTAGCTAATAAGACGAGGGTTCTATAAGAAGACTAGCCTCCTAGCCACCCCAACAGCGCTGCAAACCTTCCTAATACTCTGGGATCCTCCAACTTGTGTGTGCAGTCTTTCTACTCTACACACTCAATCAATACAGCGATTAACCTATATTCTCTACATTCACATAACCGTGCAATCTGACATGAATGGGTATTAAGAAATGCATGAACGTAATGCATAGGAAACCCAGCGGTAACTTTGCCGCTGTAAGAGCGCGGTTGTTTTGACTTGTAACCCGCCTGGTTCTCCCTGCGGGTTGTAAACAACAACAGTGTCAACTGTCATTCAGGGCATTCCCAACATCTCCAATGTCTTTCCTCAAAAACAACGAGTGTTGACGTAGACTCGTCCGGTTAATTTTACTGGCTCTCGTTTTCCTTGGTTTTGAGTTTTTCGTAGTCTCTCATGACAGTCGTGCTCCGATGTCAGCCCCCATCCGCTCCGCCGCCACACGTGGCGCAGTCTCTTTGTACCCTGTGGGTCCAAATGGTGTGACATTATGATTGGTGGGTGGGTGAGTGTGGTGGGGATGTCACAACCATTTGGACCCGCAGGTACAAAGAGAAACGCAAGGGCCATGCGTAGGTGGCTGAGTAAATGAGACTAGTTTTCCGATGGAGTTGGCTGTGAGCTTGTGAGTGATGTAGTCATTATCAATTGGAACTGGACTGGACGGAGCGCTCGGCGTGCCTGGATACGGGGCCGGTCGGCCGGCTGTTGTTGGAAAAATGACGACACCGCGCAGGATCGGGGGGGGCCGGGGCCGATAAGATAGAGTTTTCCGTATCTCCTTCGGCGGTGCGATGGACGATGCCAGGGACAGTGGCAGAATGGCTACTACAAAATCCCATAGCTCCGTGCTGTATCCCCGTCATTGTCAATTATCAGACGAACGTGTCTGAACGTGTCGTCAACATTCTCAACGTCGTTCACATGTCGCAGCTGGTTCCATGCCTGTTTCCACCAAAGCCATGCTGGCGCATTCGAACTCCCCTTTTTTTACCCCACAAAGTTCATCTAGCTGCTGCAAAGTTTATGTGACTTTATGTGACCTTTTGTACGGGTTCAGCCATGCTTACATGATGCATCATGTCGGAGCCGCCTTTGTCTCGTTTCCGCTGTACATCGGTGGTGGTGTGGTCGTGATGGTGTGATGAGTGGGAATTTCTTCGCACACGGCAAGGGGAAGCGCCAGGAGAGACGGGACGGAATACGGTAGTCGTGGTTGTCCGGTTGACCTTTTGACCGCTTCCCGAGAGGCATTTACAAAAAGGTCAAAGAGGACCCCGAACCATCGCCATGCCGCCCGTCGTGTATACGGTGTGCCCAACCCGAACTCCGAAGCAACTGTAGACGATGGCCTGTGGTAGTTCGTTCATTTTGCGCAAATGTCGTGATACCTCAGAAATTGGACCTGTCGATGTTGAAGATTTTACCGTCACCGTGACCTACCGCGCGACAAAGCCCGAAAAATTTTCATCTGCACGACTGAGATTTCGTACAACCTCAACAACAGACTCCTACAAACTGAAGCCCTCGATTTCCCCGCAAACAATTAACAAAGAAAGCACTTCGGCGAACTGGCTCACCGCCTGCTGCTCCCTCCCGGTCGTATCATTCGACGGTCACGCCCGGGCCCTGTCACCCCACCATCGGCCCATCGCCCGCTCCCCGGACTTGCAGTCTTTGACTCGGAGCCACGGGACAAGCCGCAGCGGAGGTCCTCTCGGCATCACCAACCCCATCACCGCCGCCACCGCCCATTCGGACCCCTTCGTTTCCTCTCCTCGCCTTATCCCTTGCCGTGGGGTAAACTAGTCCCCTTTCGAGCCTACCACGACTCAACAATCAACATCATGGCTCCCGTCAGGGTGGTTTTGCTCGACATTGGTACTGCATACCCCTCTTCCCAATTCCCAACCTCCAACCTCATCATCAGCTCCGTTTCCCTCGTGTAGACCGCAAACAATAACCACCACCTATTCCATGCATTTCGCCTGTGTGTGATGGATTGGCTAATGACATCTCCCTTGCCGAACAGAGGGTACCGTCTGTCCCATCTCATTTGTCAAGGACGTTCTTGTAAGGCCACACCCACCCTTTCTCCTCTTCTCCTTGGGCCGGCCCAGCCCAGTGCTTTGTTGCATGCGGGTAGCCACACCACACGTCTCCTGATCCTCTCTCTTGCCCCTCATTGCCCATCCTATCCTCTCTTTCTGCCGCCAGCCCGTTTCCTTCGCGGTTTGGCAGTGTTCCACAGCAGTTGGTAACAGCAGTGCCTCTTTGCTGCTGTTGCTACCTCAACCCCCTTCTTGTGCTCTCTTGTCCTCTTCTCCCCTCCCCTCCACTCCCCTACCCTACCCTACCCTACCCTACCCTACCCTTTCAATGGGCTCGGTGCAGGCTCAGGTTATGAACCCGATTGGCTGGCTATTCACGATACGATCGAGGAGGAAGCAAGCACGCAAGCAAGCAAGCGCCTAAAGTTGTTTTTGGGAGACGTCACAAGAGAGTTACTACGTAGTCCAGTGAGACAAGACAAGACAAAACAAGACAAGCAGTTTGAACTGACAGCAACCGCGTCTCGCCGGTCTATAGTTCCCCTACGCCCTTGAAGCGCTCCCGGGCACCTTGAAGGCCAAGTGGGACTCTCCCGAGTTCGCGCCCTACCGCGCCGCCTTCCCCGCGGAGCATGCCGGGTCCCAGGAGTCCCTCGCGGCGCACGTCCGCGATCTCATGAGCAAGGATCTCAAGATCTCGTACCTCAAGAGCCTCCAGGGCTACCTGTGGGAGACGGGCTACCGCAATGGCGAGCTCAAGGCCCCGCTGTTCCCGGACGTGGCGCCCCAGCTGGCCCGTTGGCGGGAGCACGGTGGTGCCAAAGTCATGATCTACTCGTCCGGCTCCGTGCCGGCCCAGAAGCTCCTGTTTGGACACACCAACGGCGAGCCGTCCGATATCCTGCCCTGGCTGTCGGACTTCTTTGATACGGTCAACGCCGGGCCGAAGCAGGAGAAGGCTAGCTACGAGGAGATCGCGGCTAAGCATCAGGAGTATCCCATTGGCGAGTGGCTGTTCCTCAGTGACAATGTCAAGGAGGTCGAGGCCGCGAAGCAGGCCGGCACGCAGAGCTACATTGTTGACAGGCCTGGTAATGCCGAGTTGTCGGAGGAGGCAAGGAAGCAGCATAGGGTCATCGAGAGCTTTGAGGAGATTGGTGATCTGTGAGGGCACTGCAGACGGAGATAGCCACTTAGTATCGAAAACTCGAGCATCCATCGAATATCTGCTGATCTTTGTGCATGTCATGTCAATGCCGTCGAACCAGCCTCAACAACCACCCAACACTTTCTTCCTTTTTTTTTTCTTCCTTCGTCGACAATGCAAGAGTAAAGAGCTTTTCGTTAGAGCAACCAAACCACCAACCAAACATCCATAACCTGCGTAACGGCATCCCGCATCTCACCAATGCATTCGCTACCAAGGTTACCAAGTTTCTCCTTTCAGCGCCACAGCCAGACAGCCAGACAGACAGGACAGACAGACAGACGTCGTTCCACGACAGTAGTGTAGAGACATGAGAATCTCAGACAATCTAGACTACAATCCAACAAACCCCAGATAGTATGCAATCTACGGCGAACCCCGACCGGGAACAAGTATTGCCGTTACGCAATGTGTGCACCGGCACCTTCCTTCACACATTCAAGTTGGCTTCAACAACTGGGTGGCTCCTTCTACTTCTATGATGTACCTATGTCCCAGGTCTGTAATACAGAGTAGTAGGTAACTCCTTCCACTTCTATGTATGTCTGTAATACAGACACCTTCACACCTTCACTCCACTCCACTCCACATACTAACGCCGGCCGTTTGCGAGACCAAATTCATGAATTCTTTGCGGGAATTGACTTGATCTAGTACCTACTATGCAGTGTAACCGTCTCACAACGTACGATACAATACGATACGATGAGATGGTAACACCAAGTGTGACCAGACATGGAAGAAGTGATAGGGCCGTTTTTTAGTTTGGGGTAAACGTATCAGGGTACGTACACGTGACTGATATTAGGAAAGCCACAACCGTTTGGTAATCTAGTCTGGTTAGTTTCTCTGACTTACTCTTTTCAGAATACGTATAGGTATGATGTGATAGGTATTAGGCTGTGGTTGTGTTGCTTTCGACGAGGACGGCAACGTCTACGACTAAACTGTACTCCGTGACGGTTCGCATACGTTTGTTAACCAATACCTTCTTCGGTGACAGTTTTGGATCATTTGATGTCTTGGTGTACCTAACCATAACTGGCTTTGAAGAAAATATGTGGCTCTGAAATCTTCAATACATGCAGACTAACAACAACATCAAGATTGGGGGTATTGGCGTGATATCTGACATACGTTGTTGTTGATCGACTATGTATTTCCTAAGGTAGATAGTGACGGACAAGCGGCTATACCGGCCGAGCAACCAATATTATTCAGAGTGTCGAAATACGTGAAGATTACAGATACATGGGGGGCATCATCCATACATACCACTGATCACTTCATTATGAAGTATTTTGATATGTAGCCATCAGACGCTCTATCTGAACTTACAAATTCAATTCACAAAACCTGGGCGTTGGCAAGGACAACTGACGGACAGTCCCGTAGCACTACTAGTGGCATAGCTGTTCACTTCACTTGATAGACTGAAGTTGGTACCATGACCATCATTAACCACTCCTAATCAAGCCTCCAGTTCATTCATCAACCAGCCCCGAGCCTACGGAGCGGAGCTGCGGTTGTGTTAGACTGCGCCAAGAACTTCCCCAACTTTCACTAGCAAAGCCACCAGAGAAAGGGCTCCACAGAGACTATCATGACGGCGTCGATCCGATTGCCTATCCTAAGTAGTCTCGAGGCAGTGTATCACGAGATAAGTGCTAAATGTGCACAAGTTACCGGATCTGCGGTGGTTGGGCTAAGCCTGGTCTGGAGTGGTTTAACTTCTTGATTCTGCACTGACAGATAAGTGGCTGGACGGCGCGGAGAAGGTAGAAAGAGGTTTGAGCTTGTAATGTCATTGCCTTATTGTGGTAAGCGAAACGTATCGATGAAGATTTCCCCGAATAGGAAAATACTTTACTACGCTACGTTTTGTTTGACAGAGACTGTAAAAGAGAGACAGGAGAACTGATTGACAGCTTTGTGTCAAGCTACAACGGATCGACCGATGAAGTTGCCACTTGTCTGCTATCTAGGTATGCAACTCTGATCGTGTTTCAAGTTGAGGGGAAAAAGAAATGTGAAGATGGACCGAGGAAGCCGATGGGGACTTGATCTCATTGTTTCTGAGGAGTTTTGAGTGGTGATGGGGTGCCAATGCCTACCTACCTATCAGTCGTGGTCTTCGACTATCATACAGGTCGCCAGAGATGGACGAATGAGGGATCGAATTAGGTCGCTCGGCAGTTTTACTCCGCATTTGACGTCGAAAGGCCCCCTCCCCTTGCGTCCACGTCCACCTAGACAAGCAGGCAAGACGCTTGACTGGGCATTGAAGCCTTGAGAGGACATCACCTCGTCCGTGATGATGTTCAATTCCAATGCCATGTAATCAATCGTCCGTTCTTCCGGACTTCCGGACTTTTTCACTTGGGTTAGGCGAGCTCGGAATCAGGCGCCGAAAACTACCTGACGATGCAGGACATTTGCCCACCGCCTTTTCCATGACACCCAAGCACGCATCCCGCATCCCTCACATCACCACTTCACCACTTCATTGATGCAGGAGATGTGTCCATGTGCACAGGTGATAGACGGTAGCGCATTGACGTCGAGTTTAGCTGGCTGGCTATGTAATACCTTACCTAGCCCAGTTTTCTCGGTTGCGGGGTAAGCAGTAGTGCGCCGTGATTGACAAGTCTCGACTCGGTCTGTTGGGGTCGTGATAGGTCGGCGATAGGTTGAGAGCGAATGGGCAAGACGGGAGATGGGTCGAAGAGCTTCCATGTGTTGATCACTGGCTGGTTGGTGATTTCACAAGAGGTGTGGTGATGCATAATCTCATGCAATAACAATGCGTCCCAGCGTTGATAGTCGTTTGTCGATTTGGCAGAGAATGGTGCACCAAAGGTCACGATGGAAGCGGCGTGTCGGAAGAAAAGGAACTAAGAGTGGACAGCGTAAGCAAAAGCCCGATGATTTGTTTGTGAATGTTGGTCCTATCTGTAGTTTCTGGCAGCGAAGCGCCGGCCGGAAGATGCGGAGCGGCGGAGCTGAGACGGTACTGTGTATGTTGGCGTCCGGTGAACCCAATGGTCTATCTCATCCCGAGGGCATTACGTATGAACATGTTGATAACATGTTCAGAACGTGGTTGCCCAACTGAATAACGCAGTTTCGCACCGCATCTAGCTTTCGCTGTCAAGGATAGGTGCAGCTGTCTGACTCCTGATCCACGAGACATTAGCATAGCCAGGACACCTCGGGCATTGGGCGTGTTTTGCCCAACAGCTGGACAGTATACACCGTAGAAGATGATACACTCATCGAGATGACGGACAGTCCCGCTCTCGACGCCAAATGAAGAGCGGATCGGAGTCAAGTTAGGCCTTGAAAAGAAGTCTTCCACCCGGTACGATAGCAGAGTCCAGGGCAACAAAGAGGTAATCTCGCCAACGCCGACACTCCTCCGCGTTCAGGCGGTCCTCTGCCACTTTCCTCTTGCCGTACCATCGTGTAGTCGCCTCTGATGCTTTCGGTCCCCTCGCCGTGCTCTTTTATCGCAAGTGCCCCAATCTGACACCAGCTTGGAAGCCATGGAACTCTCTGAATGTAGTTCCCAGCACCGTTCCCAGGAATCCACCCTACACGGTTGATATATCGGTCGGAAGCCCTGTAGGGAAACTGGACAGTAACGTCTGAATCCAAAAGCCCCTGAATCGACCACTTCGTGTCCTGTGGCCTCCTTTAACATCGAGTTCGTCGTGTAGTCGTATCAGGTCGTCAGGCCCTGGCCTAATCCTAGCCCGCCGGCAACCTCAGCAGTAACATAGTTCCACTCTCGTATATGGCTCAAGAATCGAATGCAATGGACATTCGATGGACCGGATTCCATCCACGTGGAATGACCCATCGTGAAATGTCGTGGCTGATCTCCATTGTGGGCATTCCAAATGTTTGCAGACCTCAGACCAACGTAATAGCAAAGTTGTTGCGTGTTGAGCCAGAGCGTATCTCTTCCTTGCGAAACGGCCTGTCGTGTCCGACCTGATCCGATGTTCTCCTCCACAGGTAATAGACGAGCCGTTGGGTCGTCTTGGACTCTACCACCTCGTAACCGATCGATTCCATAATGGCCGTCAACCTCTCTTCATCCAGATACCGTGAGTTGGTGATGCATGGGGCCGGTAGTACAAGGAACAGGCTTGGGAAGAAGGCAGCGGTTGTCCCGGAGAACCGCTTCGGCGATGTTAGAAATTGTGTGGTGCGGACAAGCATCTCGCCTCTGTCTTTATGATCTGGGACAAAGTTGAGCACCAACGAAAGGCTGATGATGTCGAACTTCTCCGATTCGTCCTTGGGCAACGGGCGCTCCATGAAGTCCTGCTCAAGAATACCGGGCTCTTGGCTGTTGAGATCGATCCGAGTGATGTCGAAATGGTTACTTTGAGCGCACGCGTTCTTTGTGCTCAGCGCCCCAACTTCCAACATGCGCAATCTGCCTTCCTTGTACTCCTCGGACGAGAGGTACGGCCCAACCCATTCCATAAGCACATTGGAGCTGTCGCCGCCTCGATCATGTCTCTGGCCCTGGAGGCTTGCTTCCTGATATTTCTCGATACCGCCCAAAGCCTCAATCTCCGCCTCAATTGCCGCGACCTGTGCGCCATCGCCCTTCTTGATAGCCTGCGCTTTCCTCTTCTCTAGAAGATGGAGTTTGTTGATGATGGATTTCGTGGTTTTCCGCGCAAGTGACTTGGGCTTCGTGACCGTGGGCGGACGGCCTGCTGCCAGGTTCTTGACCACTCCTTTCTTGGGCGCCATAATTCTTTCTCGCGGGTTATGGTGTAACAAGCTGATAACCTCAAACAGTCGCTATCTTCGACACTCGAATCCGTCTTGGTATTGTTTGTTTTCGAATTGTGGTTCGTGACACTGTAGTTAGCAAAGCAACCACACCACGCCTTTCTTCCGAGGCCCTTGGTAGCCGCAAGAGAGCAAGACTTGAATCTGTGTAAGGCCGGTTCCCCTACACAGACTTCAACCGACGGACCACGTGGAAAATGGGAGAAGTTGGACTGAAGCGCGCATCATCACTTTGAGGTTGAATGACGGAGTTCAGCAGCGACAAAGTGATCGGACGTCGATATTCAAAATACTGTGGAGCATATTTCGCAAAAGTGGACATTTTGGTGTGGCTCAAAGCCCGTTTGCGCTAGCTTGCGCAGCTCAACCCCTGCTAATACCACGGCAGCCACACGGCTAAGCCACACGCATCCCGCGCGCACACTTTTTCCTCCTCCAAATTTCAGCCAAAATCAGAACTTTCTCCTCCCCGACAACGACCCGATTGCTTAGCCCGACGACAGCAGAAATCGCAGCAATGGCCCCTAAGGATACCAAGAAAGGTACTTGAAAGAACCTCAAAATTTCACCAGCGACGATTCAACCAAGAATGAATTGAACGGCTCGACAAATATGCTCGCCCCGCGCACAATGCGGATCCTCTTTGTCGCGAAATGGCATCCGAGGTGATGCACCAAAGCAGCAGCAGACTTTGCGAGTTTGGACAAGATTCTGGCATCATCTTGCTCCAGGCGAATGCTTTTGCTGACGAGGGACTCTATGGATAGGCGGTGCCTCTAAGGCCGGCAAGGGCGCTCAGGCCAAGAAGGCTGCCCAGGCTGCCCTCAAGGGTGTAAGTTTGCGACAACTCGCGATCCCCTCTCTTCCCCTGATGACGCTCTGATGCTGACCGGTATTCTTTCTCTCTGTATAGGTGCACTCGCACAAGACCACCAAGGTCAGGTACTCGACCACCTTCCACCGCCCCAAGACTCTTCAGCTGTCTCGGGCTCCCAAGTACCCTCGCAAGTCGATCCCTCACGAGCCCCGTCTCGATGAGCACAAGGTCATCGTCCACCCTCTCAACACCGAGGGTGCCCTGAAGAAGATCGAGGAGCAGAACACCCTCGTCTTCATCGTCGATGTCAAGGCCAACAAGGCCCAGATCAAGCAGGCTCTCAAGAAGCTCTACGACATTGACACCGTCAAGATCAACACCCTGATTCGGTTAGTTTGCTCCTTACGACAGACGTCAAAATTGTACCTGTTGCTAACTCTTTATCCTACAGCCCTGACGGCTCCAAGAAGGCCTTCGCTCGCCTCACTGCCGATGTCGATGCCCTCGACATTGCTGCCACCAAGCTCGGCCTTGTCTAAACTAGCGATTTCATAGCTATGGGAAATACACAAGATTCGGGATAAAACTTATCTTCAAGGGACAACATGGGTTTACTGTTTAACGAAAAAGAAGTCGGCGTCTGATACCCCCTGGCATTTGGTTCATGGCATGGAAATGAAAGTTTTTTACAACTATTCTGCCCGTTCCATCAGACATGACCAAATGGGCCATTGCTCAAACTCCTCCCTTGCAAGCCATAGATCTACTTGTTCTAAGACTTGAATCTGACATCTTGTGTTCTTCTCATCAAACTTGTACTCATGTGATGTAATCCGCAACTTTTGTCACCAAATCAACCTGCACTGAGCCTTGGGCTTGTGTAGAGAGATGAACATTCCATTCGCTACCATCATGCGCTCCCGTATCATGCTATAAGAACCGCCTGTTCTATTGTCCATGTTTCTGAACCACATCCAAACCCTATGATCCTTTTCCCTTCCTGTTCTACCCTGTATCCTTCCTCTTGTCCCATCACATAATCGTACAAGCCTTCAAACGTAACCGTAACGATTCCTCGTATGACTGTCTCCTAGAGCTGTGACAAAGCCCATACTCGCAAGCCCTGTCGCAGCGAATGCGTTCAAGGTTCCCTAGCAAATGCTTTTTTTCCCAACCTCTCATCGACCCGTTCCGTCGCAGTGAGCCCAGGTGTACCAAACCCAGCAACCGTCCCTAGAAACCAGGCAGCGTCGGATGTCTCGGCCAATTCTCCCAAGCCCACCTACCAAGCACGCCCCCCGAGAGACGGACAATTCATCTCCCGGATCAACTCAACTCCCCGACGGAAACGAGTCTTTCTTCCTCTTCCCTCCTCTTCTTTTCTTGTTCCTTTTTTATTTTATAGGTTTCCTCCCACGCCTTCCAATTAGCGCGACTGATCTACTTGCCGCCCCTCGTAATCTTCTGCACGTGGTTCATGATGGTCAGGTTGACGTCCAGGAAGCGCTCGACGCAGTCGGCCAGGCAGACGGCCTCGGTCTTGTCGAGCTGGTTGGTCTTGATGGGGGAGGTGACGCATTTCTTCCAGCAGGAGTCGGTGAGGGCGTGGGTTTCTTGCGTGGGAGGTGGGATGTTAGTTATTTTGTGTGCATACACTGGTGGGAAGTAGGGTGAGGTGCAGTGGGAGGAGCAGATGGAAGGGGGAGGGGACAGCGGGAGAGAGATTATGGTTATGGGAGAGGGAAGAGGGAAGTGGTAGGTAGGTAGGTAGGTAGGTTTGGACTTGTCAATCGAGGGGCAAGAAGGTGAGTTTGATCGTGGGAGAGGACGAGGATAAGGATGAAGCACTGTAGGAGCCGGAGATCTTAAAGGTTGTAGATTGTACATACGTCCTTGCACCCTCTGGCGCTGCGTCTCGTTGGAAATGAAACTGCGAAGCTCGTTCTTGTCCTTCTCGTTGAGGAGATCGAGGTCGGCCTGAGGAATATCCATTGTTGCTGTTGTTTTGTTTGGTAGGGTTATTTGTTGCGGTGGTTGTACACTAGTTACTTGGAGGGGTGGTGATCGATGTAGTACTGCGTATGTATGTTGTGGTGGAAATATTTCGATATCAAGAATTGGATAAACAACCGGAAGAGGTTCGATATCAAGTAGCGTGCAATTGGATTGGATGCCGGATGGAGCTTTCTAAGCTTTTGGGCGGTACCTGCCTGCCAGGTGAGCACCGCGACCGGGGGTGTGGATAAAGATTTCTTTTCGAGGTGAGTAGCCAATGAGAGGGCTATATTTTGTCGATGCTCTTCCTCGGTGAGCAACTGCATTCGAGTCGATTACGACACTTCACTTTCGCAACTACCGACTTTCGGGTCTTTGAAACTATGCAGTGAGAATCGAATATCACATTTTATCCAAGAACCTGAGCGATGTTTCCCTCCTACGCCGAATAATAGGATCGGACAATCACAGTGACCACACAGCACAAAGTTTATAGAATATCCATAACTGCCTTGACACAAGAGACACAACCTGAACCAACTCCATAAGAAAACTTTTTGGGGTATCTACCAACACATCTATGGTCTAGAATATCCCGTCAAAAATGGTATACAAAGAGATGCGCATCTTCTTTGAGTCAAAAATGCCGCCACACTCCCTTGTTATTACAGCCATGTTATTGACGTTGCTTGGCAGCTCTTTCCCTGTAAACCAAAAAGAAACAAGAAGCTATTAAGAAACGGTTCCTCATTTTTCTCGCATGAAAGACTCCAGCCCATTGTTATTTATACCCACTTTTTGTGCTTCGCATAAATGTAGGACAAGATACAGAATGAAAGCAAAGAGCCAATAATAGTGAAGAAGGGAGCCAGAGTCTCCATGCCTTGCCATGGGACGTGGACGTTCATGCCGAACAAGCCAGTCACCACGTTGAGCGGGACGATGATGGAGGCCAGCAGGGTGATCTTGCTGAGGACGCGGTTAGTAGCAGTTCCCTGGATGATGCCGTCGATGGAAATCTGAGCGAGGTAGTTGCTGTGTGCACGAGAAAGCATCTTCTCGAAATGGCCCAGGTTGGTCATCATGGTCACCACGTGGTCCTGGATGTCACCGAGGTATAGACCAATGTCCATGCGTGGCGTGACCTTGTAGTTCTCGTTGCAGCGCTTGGTGAAGCCCTTTAGGACATCCGCCTTTCCGCCGAGTAAGCGCATCAAGGCCATGACATTCTTGCGAGCGATGCCAATCTTCTTCAGGAACTGAGCCATGTCGTCGGGCCGAGCAATGAACACATCGTCCTCGATTTGGTCGGTTTCATTCTCGAGTTTGCTGATCTCGGGAGCGAACGAATCGACAATGTCGTCACTAAGTACGGGTTAGTATACACGTCCAGAGGGGTCAAACGGAGAAAGCGCATCTGCTCATTCCCATAAACTTACATCAGGGCGTAGCAGATCCAGTCGCTACTCAATGAGACGTAGTCCTTCAACATCGTAATTCTCTTCCTCACATGTGAAGCATGGGAATTGGTAGCGTAACTGAAGCTCAGCGTGCCTTCGCGGAACACTACCACGTAGATGCTGAAGGGCATGAACTCCTTTTCCCCGGTTGACTCGTCTACCTCGATGAAGAACGATCTGAAGGAGGCGAAGTAGTAGGATGGGAAAAGCTCAATCTTCTCCCGGGATTCCTGCGTGGTGATATCCTCAATTGTCAAAGGATGGATGCCAAAAGCTCTGCAGACGGCACGGACTTCTTCTTCGGAGGGGTTGTTCATGTTGAGCCACCAGACTCCATCAGTCTCCCCCTTGGGGAAACTGAAAAGCCCTCTGATGTCCTCCCCGGGCAAGACCAAACCCTCCAGATCGGCAGCGTGGATCGTGGATTCCCAGGCCGAGGAAAAGAAACTGACCCGGCTCTGGTCAACCGGAGGTTGTGGCGGTTGTGAAGCCTTTTTGGCCTCAGAATCGTCATCCGTCTCATGACTCTTCTCCCGCCGAATATCCGTCTCTGAAGGGGCCGAAAGGATATCCCCATCCAGTGTTACCATTGGCATGGTGGGGGTAACATCGGGTTCGGCAGGCCGCAAATCGGGGAAGACACGGATGGCTGAGGGACGACGGGCTGACTGTCGGGCTTCATTCTCAGCCTTGATAAAGGTCTCCAGGTAGTGGAAATCGATATGCAAGTTGTCATCCCTATGATCATCTTGCAAGGGGAAGCAGACGTCTTCCTCCGCGGATTTGTTGGTGGCCAAGCTGGCGGTGTCATAAAGGACCGTCGGCTGCTTGCTGCGGTAGCTATGGCGACTGACGACAGAGGCAGTCCGCTGCAGCTCGGGTGGCTCTTCGACTCGACGCTCGGGTCTCGTCGGTTCGGAAAAGGAGAAGTCACGCTCCCTTCGGCGTGCTTCCGCGAAAGCCTTAACCGAGTTCGGGGGTGAGATAGACCGAACGTCCAACCCAGACTCTACAGTTCCTCGCCGGTCTCTCCTGTAAACTGGCGAGTTCTCCTGATCCTCCTCGTCGACAACAGCTTCCTCAAAATCTCGGACCCTTGTGCCCTGATACGAGTCGCTGTGTGTTGGGCCCGTCTCAATCACCTGTCCTGGGCCGTATAAGGAATCGAATGTTCCGCGTCGAGGACGGTCAGGTCGTTGGACAGAAATGGATTGGTTCCGGTGGTCGTCAAGTTCGGGCATCGGGGTTGAGTACCCGGGGTTCTCAACGTTTTCCTCCTGGTCAGACATGGTTGCGACAGTGGGGCTCGCTTCTTGGTTGGGTGGGTCGAAATAGGGGTAATATTGGTTGTATATACTATATCGTCGTTGGTGAAATAATTGAAGGGTCGGTAATGGCTTTCAACGCCCAGGATCGGGGGTCAATCAGTCGGTTCGCATATTGTCGTCGAAAGGTCGACTCAAAAGGCACCAGCGGATGGCAGCGAACGGCCAGCAGCCGTCCGCGACGATGACCGATTGGCGCAACAAAAAGGGGGACAGAAGGGTGTCGTCGTCGACGTCGGCTACAAGAGCGCAAAATCGGAGAGCGTAAATCGTGGATGTTTGTTCAAATTGGACTGTTGGTTCGAGCGATGTCCAATTAAGGGGGTTTCTTGTTCACTCCACTATAGACCCAGAAGCTGGGACGTAGGAGTGAACGAACAGACGAAACGCTTTCACGGATAGAGCCCGCCAACTTGATGGATTTTGCTTGAGTGACTGGCTAAGTCGGTGCGTGGCGTGATGGGCGATGGCTGATGTGAGGCCTTTCTCAGCAGCAACCAAATTTTTTATCGGATGAATACGAGGTCCGACGAGGGAAGAGTTAGGTAACGAGGTCGCGCCGGGCTGGGGATTTGGATCGGCCGAAGGTCAACGAGGTCGAGGATCCGCGCTTTTAAAACCGTCGAAAAATCCAAGAAGGGGTGACTGGAGTCGGCGTCGTACCCTGTAGCGCAGGCTAGTCGAGTCGGATACCTTGAACACGGAACCGCTAAAATGAGGTTCAGTTGTCGGGGTCAGATGTTGAAAGGTGGAAAGATGGAAAGGGTCGAGGGCGCCGCGCTAGTTTTTAAAACTAAAAGAGTGGGAGGTGTCTGTTCGTCGCCTCCACACAAGGCGTGGTTCCGTGGAGACTTTTTGGTGTGTTTCGTCCCAAGGGAAGGCTGGCCCGATGAGTCTTGTTTGGTGAAGTCGTTTCGGGGAGGGACTAAGTGCTTGGTCTTGGCACGTGCTAGGTTTGTAGGCTTTGATAGGAGACAAGGCAATTAAAATTTTGTTAGCAAAGACGGGAATATCATGGAAAGAGAGGAAAAAATTAGATTTGCCCGTTCTTAGCGTCCTTTGTACGAGGTTCCCGACGGTGTGAGGTGAAGCGGTCATAGGACGCCCGACGCACAGGCACCGCCGCAAGACAGCCCGTGTGCAACCTTTCAAGGTTCTCTTCGCTCTTAGGTAGCTTCGAACTGGATCGAATCCCGTCCATGTGATGGTGTTCAACAATTGTTTCGAAACCGTAATCGCATCGAATCGTCGATGCACAATTGAAGGTAGCTACCAATCAGCTAGCAAGGCACCCCCGACATTTCAGCCTCAGAACCTGGTCTCCCTCGTTAGTTTTAAACTCTGCTGACTGCTGCAGCGCTGCTGCGTCGTCGAGCAACCCCCCACTTTGCCCACCACTTCACGTCCCGTTTCCATTCACTTGAATGTTGAGGTTTGACTGCGGGACGCGGATCTGGGCGTTGGTGGTGATTTGCCGCCGGTACCTCTAGCCCAGCCGGGGCTATTTGGAGGTACGGTAGCAGTACGTATACCCCTAGCGTACGGTACAGCCTAAGGTCGGGTAGGAAGGCCCGGTCCGGGGCAGGCTCCCGAAGCAGACACGTAGAGGTAGCACGGGCATCCAATGGAAGAGTGATGCGATGCGCTACAGTATGAGTGGTGTACCTGAATCCGATTTCCTCCCATGCAACACCTTGACGACCATTTGATATTGAACTTTGGCGATAACCATACGCACGTATTCCACTTGTAACTAAATCTACCACTCATCATTGTCTACAATCCAGGGTTCGACGCTCTCGATATACCCAAACAGCTGGCCGATTGCCGCCCATTCTCGAACCTTCCCCGGCATAACGCTTGCCTCACAATGGCCGAACAACTGTTGGATCAGGTCCGCGATGTTGCGGAGGGCCAAATTGTTCGTCATGCCAGTTCATTACCCGTACCGGCGTCCTTCTTGTATGCGGCAACTGACATTTGCGACCCCTAGGACTTCGAAGGCCAGAAGCTGGTAGAACTCCTCGTCAACGTAACTCTGGCACTTACAGGTGTATGTTGTCCCGTATCTAAAACGCACCTAACCCGGGCCGCGCTGACAAGTCTTTCGTGATCAGGTTGTCTCGTTCCTCGTCGGATATATCTTGCAAGACATCAAGCTGGCGCTCCAGATTGGACTTGCCGGAACCGCTCTCACCTTCGTCCTCGTCGTTCCTCCGTGGCCGTTCTACAACCGAAACCCTGTCAAGTGGCTACAAGTCGGCGGCGGGCTGGTACCGCCACAAAGCCTGATCATAGATGAGAAGAGTTTCAGGTAGACTGTGGTTGCCGGATCGTCACACAGTTCAGATCTACGTCTGCGAGGAAGGGGGTTGAGCAAAGCAACATCGTTAAAATACCAGATGCGCCGGTCATTATATTCATTCTACTGCACGCTGCACATGCTCGATCTAGCGTAACCCGCTAGCTTATCATGCTGGAAGCCTCTCAACGTGTAATACTCCCTGGCTTATGTTTTCTAGCCTTATGAAAATCCTCGGATGTTTTCCTCATCCGTGTCTCGCTCTGCAGCATCGTCGAGTAGCCGCAAATACGCTTCCAACTCCTGATCTGCCTTTAACGGCCGTACTTCTGGAACTCCCAATCTCTGTTGTCGAGAGGGCACACTTGACGCGCCTTGAGCCATCTCGAGATGCAATGGAAATGGAACGCGTGCTGTGAAGTCGCCGGTTAGTCATCGGGCTAAGGATCAGAAAGAGAACAGACCAGAAGGGCCTTACATTGCAAATACCCCACGCCACTGTGCATTCTTCTGAGGTGGCGGATGACTGGTTTGCCTGGCACTCTATGCCTAAAAGGATCCAAAGTTCAAGATTAGTATAAGGTTGGGTGTCAAGAGGAGGGTGTAGAGGGAACTTGCATAAATCCATGATATGGTTTCGGCAGATAGCACAGTTGTCAACTACAATGTCCCAAGCCCACAGGGCCACCGCGTTCCACTAGAGACATATTCGTCAGCGCAAGGCCATGACCATACGAAGGGACAGCTACTCACCTTCTTGACCTCGAAGCGAGGCTTGCCGTCTGCCTTCTTTCCCTTAGTCTCGGCGGCGGTGTTCTTCTTAACAACAGGCGCAGAGGCCGGGGCGTCGGTCATGTCGACATCCGCCATGGTGAAGTTGATAAATCAAGTCTCGGATACCTAATTAGTCGTGGCGCAAAAATACGAAGGAAGTGCTGCGACGCGGGCGATCGTGCGGATGACAAGTCGAGGGATACACGGAAGAGGCCGACCGGTCGATGGAATAAAATGATTCGTTTGGATGAAGAGGCGGAATTCGCAAGTAGTCTAAAAATTTCCAAAGCAGCCGTCTGTCAGTTTGTCGTGGTGCTGTAGTCGGGGTGGTTCAACTGCGAAAAGAGAGGAAGGCGAATTTGAACCGCCTGGGCTGTAGAATGGAAGGCGGAAAGCTGGGCAACTGGAAGGTCTAGAAGGCTAAACGCGTACCTATGAGACGGATAAAGTAAAGTGCTCTCAGTTGCGGTTGCTCAAATGAAAGGTTCTTCGTCACGTCCCTGGTGTTGACAAAGTGAAGGTAGCACAGCTTGCCCTTACTGTCCCTGTTGGAGGTATGTTGATCCCGTCAAGGTTGCCTATCGTAACCGGCACTGGACGACGAATGTCAGGGTGGTATGGAAGCTGCACATTGCTGAATGCAGTGACGGGATTCCGGTCAGTGATGCGCGATGGGTGGACCAGTGGACCGCCATTCAGCCTTGGCTGACCCCGCTCTTCAAGCGTTTAGAATGATGTACGTGTTAGACCGATATTATGCGATCCTTTTTGCAGTAGTAGTTGATGAGTATTGAGGTGTAGCTGGTGATGAGGTTACCTCTATGCTTGAATCGGGACGGGAAATGAGAACTGAGCGCAAGAGGAGGAGCGGGCCTCCAGCTGGAAGCCGGGCAAGTACAGCCCCAGGCGGTCGACGACAGGGCATTGCGCCGGGCTCTGTGCTTGCAGGTGGCTGTTCGTCGTTTGTGTAGGCCGGATCCCAGGTTGCCTCCATCACCATCCTCTTCCACTTCTTCCCTATTGTCGCCGCAGCGCAACATCACTACGGAATCACAGCGACAAACCACCACACAGTTCGCGAAAAGAACAACATGCGCAAAGCTATTACCGTCAAACTCAGTATCGCCAATTCGAATAGTATTATTTCCCGCACCGTTGCGCCAGAGATCACCGCCACCACAGCCCGTCAATCAGCGACAGCCGTCTCGTCAGGCTCTGATCGCATCCCCTTTTCCCACGTCCCTATCTCGTAGCCATTCGAGTCATTCGCCAGCCAGACGCCACGTCCAATTCACCCGGTTTCTCGTCCAGTGTGTCATCGCTGCTTCAATCGCACCCGAGGTCGTCGCCCAACGTTTGTCCCGCCAGTTCGCACACGCTTCGTTTCGCAGAGGAAGGCACCACGCAAGCGGCCCCTTGCTTTACATCACCTTTACAGATCTCTTCGTTTGATCAGAAAACAAAGTCCGAGCGCGACTGCATTGCGTGATGCAACGACAACAGCAACAAGACCAGCCGGGACCCCTCCCAAAGGCAACCCCCGGACGACGCCGCAACAACCGCCATTCCGGCAACGCTATCGCTCGCAGAACATATGCTTCGGAAAACGACATGCCGTCTGAAGGCTCCTATCCGATTAACTTTGGCCCTCCCGCCCCGTTTACGCCGCACAAGTCGGGCACCAAGTCGGGGACAAACAGCCCGGCCCCGGAACCGCAGGCAAACGGCTCTAGGCCCAAACCCCGTTCAGCCAAGTCCTCGAGGTCCAACAAGCAGGTGTCCTCAACATCCCCGGCGTCGACACCGGGCCCATCCAAGAACTACCGGACCAGTCCTCCGCAGACAGCGGCTCTGCCCAAGTCGGTCTTCCCCCCTGCGTTTGCCGGTGGTTCCTTCCACGCCTCCCCGGCTCCGTCCGCGCTCCCAATTCCTAGCTTTCTAGCCAAGTCGATGGACTCCCCCAGCGTTAAGGATACCGGCCGAGCCAACTCGGAGCCTTCACCTCCAGCCACCGACTCGGAAGCACCCACGCCTCGAACCCGTTTCCCCGTCAGTGACATTTCCCGAGAGGAATCTCCACTTGACTTCTTCTTCCGCGCCGACCGTGCCGAGAAGGAGAGAGCTCGGAGCGGAAGTTCGGCCAACGTGTACGCCCATAGCCCGAGCTTGTTCTCGCCCCAAGGACAAGGCCCCTCACCTCAGGAACCCCGGACTCTCCCCACTGGCACGAACCTACATGGAGCCCGGTTACATCACTCTGAGCCAGCCCAGCCGAATTACTCGATGGGCTTCTCTACCAATGAGCTAGGCGGAAACCCAGGCCGCTCTATGGGGCCAGCTTTCTCGAGACCCTATCATGAACGCATTCGTGATGCAAGGTCGAGCGAAGGGCAACCTGGCGTTGCCTCGAATGTTCCTCGGCAACATCAGCAACAACAGCAGCAGGAACCTAATATGGACCCTAGTGAGAAGCTCAAGAGATTCCTTGCAATCCCAGCGGTCCGAGATAGTCAACCGGCAAATCAACCACCGAGTCATCCGGCGAGCCAGCACACGTTCCCAGGCCACCTTCGTGGCGGTGAGTTGCATGGCACGCAACCACCACCGCCCGCTTCATTTCCTCAACCCGTCGATCAACATCGGTCGGCAGATATTCAACACATGGAGGATAGCCTTCGTCGGATCTTGAAGCTTGATGCTCCGGTCAATCTAAGGGCATCCGCAACCAACTATCAAAGCTCCTAAGTCAGGCGTATCATCTATTGTCATTACTGCCGGAGGTTTTTGCCTTGTTGTCACATGAGTGTCGACATCTAGCGTTTCTTTTAATCGTTGCACATTTCCTTTCATATCCGTCATGTTAATATCAGGCGTTAGTGGTGACGGTACGATTCCCGGACTTTGCAGATTTTGCATGCATGCGTCAGCGATGGATCCGGCGGATTTGTGTTTGGGCATTGGGTCTGTCCGACTTGTCGAATCACTGGCGTTTTGGAAGGTATGGCGTACCGACCATGATTTCCGGGTCTATGCCGTCATAGGATAGACCGGCTCTGTTATCTTTTTTTCCCCATTTCTTATGCTGGCCAGCATATCAGCCTATGTTTCAGGCTCATTGTTATCTGTGTTGCTTCTTTATTTTCTTTTTCTTTCTTTCTCGAACATTGCGAGGGCGAATTTGGGTCTATGTCATTCAACATTTGGTACGAGTGTGGTCCATTTGACTTGCTGCATTGCGGCATTGGTTTTTGGTGATACCCATACCGTCATTGGGAGTTGGGCGGGATTTGGACCCTTATTTCATTTGCAGGCGTGTCCTGTTGTACGAGGGGGGTTTTTGGTATGATACGCATAGGATCATGGGCGTTCTACAAAAGGGAACTCGGAGTTGTCTAGAATCGGAGGACGTTTCGAAGACCATCACATTCGGGGGGGTTGTTAGGAAGTCAGGAAAGGAAAGGCACGAAAGGGACCCTACGCCAATGGGATCCGTACATACACAGCGAACTATACCCGGTACTTATGCACGCCACACACCACGACGCATTATCACACACACACCTATACGACATATAAAACGAAAAACAACCAAAAAAAATATTTTTGGAGGGGGATATCTGGTTTGCCAGCTTAGATAGCACAAGTACTTAGACATAGTTTCGGAATGTCACAAACCATGTATACCCTCCATCACTTTGGTTCCGTTGAACTCTGATTATCCGGTGGTTTCTGTCTAGCTGCGCAGAACGAGGTTGGTAACCACCTAAGGTTTACCCAGTTCGCTTGGAGAACCCCATGTCAAATGATGGCGACTGTAACTCGCAGAAAGGTAATGTCATCCTAAGGAAGCGGATCGAATACAGAAAGGGTACTGTGAATGGGAAATTCGTTACCTGCCGACAGGTGTTGTCGAAAAAGTGACATCGGAGTTTGGCACCATTGGTTAGGGATAACCCTAACCCTTTTCGCGTTGGACACAGCAGCGTGATCGTTCGTTTCCTGATCACGCGCGTGGACTCAGACGACGAGGTGAGCAGCGAAAGATAAAGTCGGGATAAATGGAAGGACATCAAAATAATAGCCTACGCTATTACCATTAGTTCTTATCGTCGAAATGTTGTTATGCCCTTGATGCTTGAGTGCAGAATGTCTTGTGTTTAACTTCAAATCGTATGAATGATGAGGCCTCTGCTTTGCTCACCCCGCTCTTATTCGTCTTGTCCGACAAACAAACTCACGCTCTTGCCTACCCAGCAACACTTTTGGAGTTTCGCCCTTACCAAACGGAACAGGTTTTCTTTTTGTTGTTCGAGGCGCTTTCGCTTTCAACAATCATCACTAACTGTCCTAGAGCATTTCCCTCTTTTTTCGTCGCAGCTCTCCTTGAGGTTTCCTGGGCATACCTCGTTACGCACCTTGGTGATACCACATCTACGCGTCCCGCCAGAATCTCATCTCACGACAACCACTCGGCCATTGACACAATCCTCTCAATCGCGCTACTTCTCTTGCTTCTTCACGAGCTCACCTAGATGTGCAATGGCTGACCACAGAGGCGCACGGTTCAATGACGCCGAGGATATGTCCGATGACGAAGCACTGCGCGTCGCTATCGCTTTGTCACTTGGCCAAGATCCTTTCGAACCGCAGACTGGCGGGAAGTCGAGCGCCACTATCGACCTAACACAAGACGACGAGGACGATAATGGAAGTCGGAGTAAACCCGACCTTGAATCAAAACCTGCCGCCAAGGACTCCAAATCCTCTCAAACCAGCAAACAAGCCTCTACCGCCTCTGCCCAGGCATCCAGTGTATCAGCACTCTTCGGCCTGGACAGGAAGAAGATGGAAGAGGAGCGTCTCGCCCGCCTGAAGAACAAGAGACCAGCATTATCAGCTTTGGAATCCCCCAGTCCGACTACCGCCCGTCCCCAGCAACGTCCCAAGATGTCAAGCAGCAGCTACAAAAAAACTACCGGTCCACAAACAATTGCCGATTTGCTACTACCTGAGTCTGATGAAGACGAGACGGCAAGCTCCCAAGGATCCAACAGCTCCCCCGTCACGGGACGCATGGTCAAAGCCGGGAAGCAGCAGGCAAAGCCGTCAGAGGCAGTGCAAGGAAAAGCGGCAACAGCAGCCGCAGCAACCGTGGACCAGTCCTCCACTGCTGGCCGCAAATTGAGCGGCAGTAGACCAAAAACAGAACTTCCGTTTCCCAAGGGTGCGGTCAAGAAAACGTGGGTCCGCGGTCAAGCGAGGAAGGGAGACGACATCACCATCGAAGAGGTTTTCCAGAAGGATAAGCTGCAGTTGGCAGTGCTGAGCACGTTCATCTTGGATGAGGCGTGGTTGTTCGACAAGCTGGATCTGACGAAGACTAAATTGATACTTTGTCGGGGTGCTCCTAACCAAGGGGAGCAAATCAGTGTAAGTTAATGGGTTCGAGAACACAACCGAAAGCCTTGAGGCTGGGATGTTATTTACGTTGAAGGTGCATGACGTCGGTTGCTAACGTCTATGTTCCCTCATAGAATTGGTTGGATAGATTCCCAACAGTGCGGAAGCATCTTGTTCCCATGAATGGATCGGGGTGCATGCATTCGAAGCTTCAGCTGCTCAAGTACGAAGACTATCTTCGCATTGTTGTGCCCAGCGCTAATCTGGTGAGCTTCGACTGGGGTGAGACGGGTGATATGGAGAATGTAAGCCTACGAGTTCCAATCTTTTTCAAGCAACGAAAGTTACTAATTGACATTCTCAGATCTTGTTCATCATCGACCTTCCTGTACTTGATGACCCGGACGTCACAAGAGAACTCACCCCCTTCGGCGAGGAGCTGTCGTATTTTCTCAAAGCCAAGCAACTGGATGATGGTCTAATTAGGAGCTTGAAGAAGTATGACTGGACAGAAACGAGGCGTTATGGTTTCGTTCACTCGATGTGAGTTCAGCCACCAAGGCCTTACAGAGACAACAGAATATGTGCTAAAGGCATACATTAGCGCCGCTTCTCACGTTGATGATAAAGCTTGGAGGACAGGTAAGTTTATCGGATAATAGCTGTCCAGAGTTGTGCCATCAACTAATCTTCTTTTTACCAGGTTACTGCGGGCTTGGTCGTACTGTCAAGGCTTTAGGTCTTGGTACAACAAAGACGATCGAGATGGATGTTGTGGTGGGTTCTCTTCACTTAACTCTGTATCCTAGCTTCCCAAGGCCTGGGTTTTGCTGACGCCTGGCTTACAGGCTGCATCACTGGGATCCATCAAAGATTCTCTACTCAAAGCGCTGTATTACGCTTGTCGAGGTGGGTAAACTCTCTGAACTCACAGCTAGTGCTTCAGCTTGGTTGCTAACAACCGTGTAGGCGACTCCGGAGTCGAAGAGCTCGAGAGTCGAACAGTAGGCAAACCAAAGAAGGGTCAACAAGAAGCGCCAGATCTCGGGGCCGCCGAGGTCAGGAAACACACTCGGGTTTATTTCCCATCGAAGCACACGGTGCGGACTAGTATCGCAAAGGTCAGTCGCCAGTCACCCTTATCCTGTCTGCAAGAGATATTTCCTTTTTTTCCCTACCATATAAACGGCCTGATGCTGACGCGGCAATCACAGGACGCCGGAACTATCTGCTTCCAAAAACAATGGTTCGAAGCACCGACTTTCCCCCGAGAAGTGCTGCGTGACTGCGTGTCCACCAGACCAGGCATGCTCATGCACAATAAGATGATCTTTGTCAGGAGGACGGAGGAGTCCAAAGACGAACCTGGCAAGAAGGTTGTGAGCGGTTTCGCATACGTTGGCAGCGCCAATCTGTCGGAGAGTGCTTGGTAAGTTATTCCAAATCTCCTCCACAGAACTTGACGAGAATCTAACAAGCTTTAATCATGATTTCGTCAGGGGCCGACTCATCAAAGACCGTAGCACCAAAAAGTTCAAGATCACCTGCCGGAACTGGGAGTGTGGCGTCCTCGTTCCTGATGGGACTACTACAATTGCCAGTTCATCATCACCGGCGGCTGCTGAGGAGCGGGATGAGGGCAATGGCAATGGCAAGGGGAAAGAAGCCATGCCTACCTCTACGGAAGATGACCCGTCCTGGGGAGTCTTTGAGGGTCACGTACCGATTCCGATGCGAGTACCGGGGTCTCCGCTTCAACTGAATGGATCGAAGAGTCCTTTCTTCTTCGGTGGATTTTGATTGGGGGTATCATGGAGGGGAGAGGAGCGAGCTTTGAACATTACCGGGCAGGGTGGACGCTTTGCTTATGGCAGTTATCATGGCTTTTGACGTTGGCTTAACGTGGAATGGAAGGGTTGTGAAGGGAGGAGTGTCAGTGAATGAATGGATGGAGATGGATGCTTCATTGCCGTTGTTGCTCGCCTTTAAGCCAGCACTCGCTAGATATTCTCGCTGAGTGTCAAGAGTGATGTGAAAAAAGAGACCGAACATCCAACACAAGGAACCCTGACCCTGTTGTTTTGACCGCTGTGCAAGACAACCGCACTCGAAAAGTTCCCCAAGATTTCCCAAGATACTACTCACTCCGAAGTCTATACTTAACGGTCTTTCTAGGTTGGAAATCGAGTGCCGTCCTCAACTTGTCAAGTCATATGTTCCAAGGTTGACGGACTTCCATGGTAATTTGGTCTCGCAGGTGGTGAAAAGAATAGTCCGAACACGCCTAACAGCAACATACAAACTGAGAGTTCATAAATCGCACTTAGACATGGCGGCTGGGAGAATGGGTGTCGTTGTGTGAACAGTGGAGGTACGTACCCTTCTTTCCCGATTGGGACTTAAGGTGGACAAATGATTGGACATCAGACGTTCAGCGGATTTAGCTCCGACTGTATGGCCCTAATTGTGGATCGGTGTATTTGACATCGATGGAAGCTTCCACTTGAGATCTTTTCGATCACTCCTACCTTTAACACATCTACAACATCGTACCTTCCTTCCACACAGAAAGAACACTGAGCCTCACATGCCCTCCTCGGGAAAATGGAGAGTGCAAGGGAAGGAACATCTCAGCAAGTTAACGCACCCGCTTCGGAGTGAGAATGGAAGTTGGACCTAGCCTTTTCCTTTTCCGCGTAGAAGAGTAGTACCCTCCAGTGAACCTCGCTCGACACAATCATCCAGTCCTATCAAGTTCCATTCTTCTTCTTCTTCAAAGTTGATGTTCTATCGGTAACCCTCCACACACCATTCGTTTCTTTTAGACGGTCTCCCGGTTCTGTCGTTCACATTTTGATTCCGTTACACAACATTCATTCTCGCAGAGCAGCATATCCAGAACATCGCTCTCAACATGAATCCACCCCAAGCACCTTTCGCCCCCGCCAACCAGGCATACCCGCAGGAGAAGGCCTATCCCCAGGATCAGGTCTATCCCCAGGAGCAAGTCTATCCCCAGGAGCAAGTCTATCCCCAGGAGCAGGTCTACCCCCAAGAACAAGTCAATCCCAAGAAACAGGCCTATCCCCAGGCAACGAATCCGGAAAAAAAGAACGATAACGAAAACAACCACTTCGTAACTGAATCGAAACAAGACGTTGATCGGCTCGTTGACGAGGCTCTACGGCTGACCTGGGACATGTGCTTTGACGGCACGCAAGTTATCTTCAAGGAGCCAGAGACGTTGACCGTCTTCAGGGTGAAACCTATTAGACTACGGATACTTAGTCATGCAATTTGGATACACAACGAACCTGACTTATAGGAGGAGCTTTTGTTGGATCCCGCGGAGGAAAGTCTTGTTCGGGCTATGAGAGCGGGAAAATTTAGGAATTTTCCCGCTCTCAAGCTGCGAGGACCCAGGTCCGTGGAAGCGGACAGACTTTTCATGAAACTTTCGCCGATGGATTGTAGACTGAGTAAGTTGTTTCTCTTTGCATTTTCGTCATGGCTTTTGACAGTTCGTTGGCCATGTGCGTGCTGTGTATTTTGCCTACGATTATTTCCGTACAGCAGGAGCTCACTGGTCTAACTTTGATCACTTGTGACCAGAACGAGAACAAGACAACAAGATGCTAAAAAGGTTCAAATACTACAAACACATCCTTCAAGCTCCCAAAGGCTCGAACAATCTCTTTGTCTGGTACGTTGCAATGTCGAACAAACACCCCAATCAGACCACACAATATTCTATATCACTTTTTCTCCCAACCACATCTCCAAAGGCAACATGGCAATCACATGTACAGCAAGCTAACCACAATAAAACGACCCAAAATATAGCATCCCAAGCCACCCTTGGCCCGAGTATTCTCAACCGCTTACCTGCCTCTACTGCAATCTGACCACAGATCACGTCAACATCCCCCGCCCGAAGACCTCGGAAGTCAGAATCCTGCACAACCAAAACCTCTGTCCCTACCACGACTACTACCTTCTCAGTGGCTGTTCCCTCGGCTACCACGAGCTTTTGGCGCTCAACGCGTTCGAGCAGTGGGGTATATCGTTTGGCACTACGCGTAGGAAGAAGCCCGGACCTCGCCGAACAATAGGCCCGGATAGATACCTCTATGAGAAACGATCACATATCAAATATTTCATCGATCGCATGCGCGAGGAGGTGGTGGAGAAGAGGGGACATCTGGTTACCACGGAAGCGGATCTGAAGTTGGGGACGTTTCTTGGAGAAGGGTCTGGGTCTGGGTATGTTTTCGAAGCTTGCGAGAGAGAAGGGAAGGCGAAGAGGATTGGGGTCATTGGGGATGGGAGGCCTGTTGTGAAGGGCAAAGAGACTGGAAATGATGAGGACGAGGAGGATGAGGAGGCTATGGAGGAAGTTGGGCCGGCGGGTGGAGGCGCACCTTTGACTGCCCCTGAGTGATGGTTCACGTGGCTGGAATACCAAGGGTTTATGTTGAGGTTGTGGCGGAAGTGGTAAAGTTGTAGCAAGCGCACATGTTCTTTTTCTTCTGTTGTTATACCAGCTAGCGAAGTAGTTGATTTAACTAGGTAGCCATTAGGAGATACTTTAGCTTTCTGCTTAGCTGACAACTTAAGGATTGCGGTTGTAACTCCTCGTTTCTCGTACTCTCGTCTGTTGTTCTCGCCCAAAAGACTTGTTTGGCCTCCGAGATGGAAGTTGATTGAAAGGGATCTGGGCTTCTCTTCACCCGCTCTTTACGTGCCCGCTCTGAGTTTGAATTCATCTTCATTTCAGATTCTCTTCACATCCTCTTCACCTTTCCTTCACATTTTTTCCACTGTCTGTGTGCACATCGTTGTCTCGATAAAAGATGAACCAACGTAGCTCCCATGTCTGACGAATCCAGAACATCAGTGGTGCTCAATGTTTGAAGTATACAACAGTTTGTGTATATAACTGAAAACCGGGAAACAGCGTTTTGGGGTGAGGCAGTGGTGGTTCCTGATATCAGACTCGACATAAATTCATTTGCTATATACATTTGTTCAAGCCACCACACCTATTGGAATGGGTTATCGGTCTCGTGAAAAGGAGATGAAGGAAAGGGGTATAGGCAGGTATTATTGTACACACAAGAAGGTGACATAACAACATCAACTCATTCTTGTCATCTCGGCCAAGAACACATAGGTAACATGGTCTCATATCATTCATCACTTCATATTTTTACTTCCAGAACCATCCCTCCTTCTTTCCATCCTTGCCATCATCATCCTTGATGTTTCCGTCCTGGTCACGGTCCTTCTTGGCGAGGAGCGACTTGTCGTCTTCATCAGCATCGATGTTGCCAAAAGACCAAGAGCGCTTACTTTGCACCGAGTGGCTGCTCGATCTGCTAATGACGTTGCCCTCGGCATCCTTCCTGATGATTTCCTGCTTGACATGCACAGCACCGGATGCGTCAGTATACTCTTCCTTCTTGATGGTCTCGGTCACTCCGCCCTTCTCGGTGGTGGTGGTGGTCGTGACGGTGCTGTTATCCCTTGTAGCGACAGCAGCGGTATCGGGGGACTTTGTGAGAGTGTCCGAGTTGTTTGGCACGACATCTTGAGAATCGATCCAGTCATCGAAGAAGCGCTTGGTGTCCTTGAGCTCATCCGCAAAGGACTTGAAGAGCGTGCTCAGCGAGCGGTTGGACTCGTTGAAAGCTGACAAGATGACATCAGTCAAATCCTGCTCAGTGTCAGGATGCTTCTTGTCATTCGACTTGGTGGTCTTTTGCAAATCCTTGTTCGATTCCCGTTCGGTCTCTTCGGTTAACGCGCGGTCGAACTTGTTGATGAACCATGTCAAGTTGTCAAAGAAGCCGTTGGACATGTCAACGACGTCGCCAAGCGTGTTGCTGACATCATTGATGATGCGTCCTTGCATCTCTAGAACGGCTTCGTCCCTATTCCTGTTTTTGTTGTCGGCCCAGCGAGAAGCGTCGACTCCGAGGCTTGACACGAGCTGAGAAAGGATGTTACTGTGGAAGTCGTCCTTCTTCGCCTCCGCTTTTCTCCATTCGATCCACTCGTCCATACTGCGTGGCGAGCAATAACGACGGTCGGAGGTGTCGACAAACAAGCGAGAGTAGAGGGGAAACCAGGCCTCGTCAAGCTTGCGGAAGCGTATCCTCTGGTCCAAATCAAGCGCTCGGAGCATGTCCGGGGTCACTGTTTTGCTCTGCTCGAGGTACTTGGGATAGAGGGGATATTGTTTGGTGAACCAGTGGGATTCGATACTCCTCATAGGCTTGGCCGAGCTTTCGGCCAGAAGATCCTCAAAGGCGTCCTCCCAGCCAAATAGGCTGGGATCCATTTCCGAAGTTAGGCCCTTTGGGACAGGTTTCCAGCCGAGCTCGAGAGAAAGGCGAACCGGAGAGTAATTAGAGCGCAGAAGGAACAGCCTCCAGGCGCGGGCTGCTTCGAAGTAGTTGGTGCCATAATTTTGCAGCTCGTCGAAGTGGCGCTCCAGCTCGTCAGAAGCCTTGTTGTTCCCATAAGCGCGGATATCGGGCAAGTTTTTGCCGCGAGTGATGTCGGTGCCCAGGGCTGGTGAGGACGGAGCATCTCGTCTGGATAGCTGATATGGCGTCAAGTAGAGGATAGTATCTAAGATAGTGTGGAAGCCGGCGCCGATGTTGTCGTCGACGTGCTCCTTGAACTTCCTGAAGGGCTTCAGGAAGTCGTTTAACGGGTCGTTGTCATCGCGCATTGTGATGACCGATGGTGGATCGAGTATTCTTTGATGGAAGAAGCAAAAGTTGAAGAGGGGAAGTGAAGACCTGGTGATGTGTCTTGTAGGTTGAGTGGTGTGGTTGAGGTTGTTTCCGTGCTAACATGTGGGGGTATGCGGAGAATGACCTCAGTGGCACTTGCTAGATGTTTCTGTTGCACAGGACGGAGAGGTACGTACCTCGATATCAGACGACTCGGACAAGTACCTCTACGGCTATCTGTCAATGTCTGAGCACCTATAGAGGATAAAAGAGTATTCCCACAACGGCACAGGTCTATATGCCCTCTCAAGAATATGAACATCACTCAAAGACTTGGACGTGTAGTGCTGTGTATAAGTGTTAGCGTTTAATGGTGGTGTTAACACGCAGGGTCCAAGATACAGTAAAGACATCTCGACGCCGACAACGATCCATACACTAGCCCTAAACCATTCTTCTTTCACATGGATATGTTGGAACGGAAGTGTTAATAGATAGTGAAGCGAGGTTGAAGAGCTGAAGAGTTGATGTTCAAGACAACAAAAACAACCTGAAAGGCCAGTAGCCTTGGAACGTTAACAGGAGCTGCCCCACCACAGCCTGGAAATTGGAATCGCTAATTCCAGCGATATGGAAGTGGAGCCTACAATGAGGCGAGCCTTCCCAGGGTTCATCTGGCGCTATTCCTGGTAACAACAGCGACCCCCAATGCCGCCCTCATCCCGGCATTAACGGCATCCATTTTAGCGACGGGACGCCATCGAATCTGTGCTGCACAATTTGTTAGTGTCGTGGGTTCCTCAAGGGTTCCTGTGCACAATGACCATCTCGTATGACAACCTGTAACGTAAACGTAGTCTCGGACTCTCGCGCACAACTCGGGCTGCGCATTCGACAACCACCATCCCGTCGTCACTTGTGTTGGATCTCGAGATGCGACCTGGACGCTGTCCTTCTCTGTCGCTGCAATTTCACCCTCCACGGAACATCCACTCTAAAGTCCGATCAGCTACTGCGACTACCGCGACACTAGTCTCGTAATAGACATTGACATTTCCGAGGTTCCTGTTCTTCTCGACTACTTCCTTCTTGTTCTCCTTCCTATTTTCTTCTTGTTCATATTAAGCGCCCGACCAACAATCTCGAATCTGTAACGTTGTTAGACATCCAGAAAAGCGCAAAGATACAGAGACCACGGGCAGACATCAGACCCCAACCCAAGTCAACAGCCACCAACAACTGAAACCGAAACCTTACTCGACTCGAGCCTACCTACTATCATTACAAGCCGAAGCAGGGCATGACCCGTCGTCCCATCTCGCCAACCGATTGCTTCACTTCACATGCGCTTCCCATTTGTGAACCAACATTCCATGACCTCCGGCTGTGAGCCTTGAACGCCGCGAGCCGTGTGCGTTGCTCACTAGGACGCCGCCCCATCCGCGACCTCGATCCTAATCTCGATCCCGAACCACACTCCGACGGCAACAATGCGCTTGCCCGCCCCCGCCTCCGCAGCCGGTCTGTGGCCTATAGAATACTTACCTGACGTCCAGGTCAATATTCCGTCCGCCGACGGAGGCGATCATGGCAATGACGACGAACTCCAAAACTGGTCCTCGCTGATCGGCATCATCACCGCCATCTGCGGCAACATCCTAATAGCTCTCGCGCTCAACGTCCAGCGATATGCTCACATTCGGTTGAATGAACACCGGGCCGAGGTACGACGGCGTGCAAAGCAGGCGCTCAGGGAGGCTAGGGCCAAGGCGAATGGGACAAGTTCTGGAAGCGGAGGTATATACGGAACTACAGCCCCCGTATCCGATGGGAGTCTCTCGAGGAAGGACACTACTCGCCATCCCAATAGCGACCTGGCCATTGATGCCCACGAAACCGAGCCCTTTTTAACACGGTCCTCCGATTCCACGGACTCGGGTTGGTCCGAGTCTTCGACTCCCACTGGAGGGGAGGTCAAGGTCGCAACTACATATCTGAAGGATCCATACTGGTGGCTAGGCCAAGCCTTGATCACAGTGGGCGAGACGGGCAACTTCCTGGCATATGGCTTTGCTCCGGCTTCCGTCGTCAGTCCACTCGGTGTTGTAGCTTTGGTGTCCAACTGCATCATTGCGCCCATCTTTTTCAAAGAGGTCTTCCGTCAGCGAGACTTCTTCGGTGTGCTTATTGCCGTGGCCGGTGCCGTGGTAGTGGTCTTGAGTGCCGAGTCGCAAGAGACCAAGATGGGGCCTCATGAAGTATGGGATGCGATTACGACCATGGAATTCGAGATCTACATGGGCCTTAGCTGTTCCTTGATTGTTCTCCTTATGTGGGCGAGCCCCAGGTACGGCAACCGGACCATCCTGATAGATCTGGGCTTGGTCGGTCTATTTGGTACGTTTATACCCACCTTATTAGCAGTGGCATTATGCTAATACCCAGTCTTGTATAGGCGGATATACTGCCCTCTCTACCAAAGGTGTCTCATCTATGCTCTCCTCTACTCTTCTCGGCGCTTTCACGACACCTATTACATACGTTCTGGTCTTTGTCTTGCTCTTCACCGCAGTCATGCAAGTCCACTACGTAAACAAGGCACTCCGGCGTTTCGATTCTACCCAGGTTATCCCCGTCCAGTTCGTTCTGTTTACACTATCTGTAATCATTGGCAGTGCCGTCCTCTACCGAGACTTTGAGAGGACAACCAGCAAACAAGCGCTCAAGTTTATCGGCGGCTGCATATTGACTTTCTTCGGCGTATTCCTCATCACCAGCGGCAGGCCGCATCATGATGAGGAAGAGGAGGAGGAGGAAGGGCTTCTCTCCGACGCAGAGGGCGTCGACGAAACCATTGGCCTTGCAGAACACGGCCCAACGCTAGGAGCAGCAGCGGCAGTCGTCGCCGCGACCTCCTCATCACCACATACGCCCCGCCAGCCCTCTCACAGACGTAGCGATTCCGCGAGATCCCGGCGGTCGTCGCGTGTCAGTTTCAAAGAAGCCGCAGTTAGACCCCTATCAGCAGTAGAGGAGGCGGAGGATGCTGGCTATCCTTCGCGCACTCACACCAGATCCAAGTCTCGAAACACTCTCGTTGAAGAATCAGACGACAACGACAACGAAGACGCCCCGTTGCTCGATAACCCCTGGAGGGCGGCAGTGTCCCAAGGAAGAAATAGAAGCGAAGAATACGTCCCCGAAATCGACGCCCATTACCAACACCCAAGTATTGGCCCACACACCATCTCCTCAGACACCATCCGCTCCATCCCCGTCTCCTCCGACGAGGTCGCCACCGATCTCCTCCTCTCAACCACACCCCGGCCCAACATCACCATCACGCGCAACTCCTCCCCAGCTACCGGCTCAGGGACAGGCTCAGCCCGGACACCCCCCTCAGCCTCGCGGCCAGTTACCCCCCGCGCCGTCTCCTCCTCCACCCTATCACAATCACACCGCGCCTCCAACGCCCACACCCACCATTACGGCAGCCATCACCACCATAATGCTGGCGGTAACCCCCCCATGATCTCCCCTTCCCCCTTCTCTTCCACCCTCGGCGCCGTGGTAGCGGACAGATTACTCCCCCACCTCGGCATGGCGGCCGAAAATGACTCGCCTACGCAGAGAAGGATAGCAGGTCGGAGAAGCAGACCGGGATTGAGAAACAGTTTGTTCGTGCCTGCAGACAATGATGAAGGGTACTACGATCTGGAAAACGGTAGGGGGCGTGGGCAGGGAAGTGCCTGGGCGGCGGTGGGGAGTACGAGTACTTTTGGTCCGTTGTTGGATCTTACCGGACTAGGCAGTAAAGGTCAAGGTCAAGGTCATGAGGACCAAGGGATAAGAGGGCGAGCGAGGAGTTTGAGCGGGACGTTGGCGGAGTTGTTGAGTGGTCGGTTGAGGATGGGCGGTGGTGGTGGTGGTTCGTCGCAGGTAAGCGCGAACGTTGCCAATACGAGTAGTAACAACGGGTCAGATACCACGATACGGGGGCCCAGTGCTAGTAGTAGGAACAGGATGGGGATGAGGAGGAGAGGGACGGATCCGAACTTTAGGGTTATTGGGAATGGGAATAGGAATGGGAATGGAGGAGAGAATGGGGTAAGGGTAACTGAAGATGGAGAGGATGAGGAAGGGCAGGGAAGTCGGTTGGAGACGACGAGGAGTGCTGCTGTATAAATAACCTGGGGGGGAAGGGTGGAAAGTTTGATGTTTCGGTAGCGTATCTAGAAAGCATGCGAGCGAGCATAGCGAGAAAAAGCAAGCAAGCAAGCAAGCAAGCAAGCAGGCAGGCAGGCAGGCGTTCTGTTATGTAATAAGCATGTAGAAGGCGTACAATATCATTGAGCGTTGTCTTGGTTAATGAACTCTGCAAGAGAACTTGACCAGTGTGCACGGCGGAAATACCATGTTCCTAGGTAGCTTTCGCTATATTATAAGGGTATTAGCGGAAGGTGAAGAGAGGTGAAGTGAGTTGTGAAGAGAGGTGCAAAGAGAGAGAGAGGTGAAGAGAGTTACACGAAGTTGGAAAGCCCCTAAAGGGACAGAAAAGAACCTGAAGAGAACGTAGAACACAAAGGAGTCCATCCAATTAACCTTCAGGAAACACATACTACTGAGGAAGTGAGCAAAGGTGTTGGAAAACGCTATAAGACATTGCTTTTGAACGTGATGAAGATAATAGGAAACATAAAAGGCCCGGTTAATGTAATAACAGGTTTCGACATTCCAGGCCAGCAGCAGAAAAAAACGGATTTCACTCCCTACATCAACCCCCATGAGCCTAGAGCTCATTTCTTGCCCCTGACGTTAGCCTTCTTTTTCCTCTGCTGCCTCTTCCTCGCCAGGATCTTGGTCATCATGGCCTCCTTAGCCTCCTCGCTCTTCTTGCCCTTCTTATCCACCTTGATATCCTCAGCCTTGACCTCCTTCGCCGGTGCGGCGCCGGCGACCTTAGCCACCTCAGCCGGACCCTTCTTATCCTTACCCTTATTCCACCCAGCCGGCTTCTCCGGCTTGTTGCCCTTCTTCCTGTCAGCCTTCCTTCCGGCCTTGTACGCCTCCTTGGCCTCCTTGGACCTCTTCTTCTCCTCCATCTCCGCCTTCCTCTCCGCGGGCGTCATCGTCCTTTGCTTCTCCTCATCCTGCCTGCGCCTTTGCACCACGTTCGCGTTCTCGATGGCGAACTCGACAATCAACCGCTGCGTCTTGCCCAGCTCGTTCTTGACCGCGAACCCGTTCAGGTAGCGCAGGCCCATGAGCGCCCAGCGGTGCGACGAGTACTCGATGAAGCCGTAGCCGCGCGACTTGCCGCCGCCGACCTTCTCGTCTACCTTAGTGCCCGTGGTCGTCTCGAACACGATCTTGGCCTGTGTGACGACACCCTTGCCCTTGAGCTTGCGGAGGCGCTCGTTCTCCTTGTCTTGCTCGCCGCCGCGCGAGTTTTCTTCCTTGGAGATGGGCGCGCGCTTGCCTTCCTTGACGTCCTTGGCGAATCCGACGACGGCCTGGCGCGCGAGCGCCTTGAGCTCCTTGGAGCTGATGTTGCGCGGTAGGTTGCGCAGCGCGAGACGGGTGAGCGACAGGTGCAGCGACGGGTTGGACTGGATCAGCTTCTTGCGCTGGTTGGCAGACGCTTCGCGCATCTTGATCTCGGCCGGGGTAAGGACCTTGAAGAGCGTGGACGATGGTGTGATTTGGCCCTCGTTCAGGAGGTACAGGCGTCTCTTGTCCTTGTCCTTCTTGCCGGCCGAGGCCTCGGCGAGACGCTCGGCTTCGTCCTTGGAGACAGCGTGGGCGACTTGCAGGATGCGGCCGTCGAGCGTGTACTTGCCCTCCGGGTCGACGGTCTCGTCTTGAAGGACGGAGTGCTTGGCGAGTGTAGGGGCAGGCTGGTGGCGGGGGGCGCCCTTGAGGCAGGTCTTCATCTCCTCCTCGTTGAAGAAGCACACGAAACCGGTACCGGCTGGCCTATCGGTGGCCTTGTCCTTGACGACTCTGGCGTATCTGATGCCGCCAAACTGGGTAAAGTGCGCCTTCAGCTGCTCGTCGGTGGTGGTGTATGGTAGGTTGCGAATGAAGAGTGTTAGAGAGTTGTCGGTCATTCTCTTGGGCTTCGGTTCCTCCTCCTTGTCCTCATCCTCCTCATCCTCCTCAATATCATCCTCGTCCTTGTCTTCGTCGTCCTCCTCATCGTCCTCCTTGTCCTTATCTTCGTCCTCCTCATCTTCACTCTCGAGGTTCTCGCCTTGGCTCTTGAAGAAGTTGTAAAGATCCTTCTCCTCCTGTGTCATGCCAGCAGTCTCCTCCTCCTCCGTCTTCTTGTCCTTGGGTTCCTTGGGTTCCTTGGCCTTCGTATCCTTCTTCTCCTTCTTGTCGTCCGACTTTCCACCGTTCTGCTGGTCCCATGTCTGCTTGTCCACGGCCCAATCGACGGCCAACGGGCGGCCATCGACCTCCATGCCATTGATGGCCTCGATAGCCTTTTCGGCATTCTTGCGACCGCGGAGGGTGACGAAACCGAAACCGGAGAGCTTGCCCTTGTCGTTGGGCAAGTCGGCGAACCTGACCTTGCCGTATGGCTTGAACAACTCGGCCAACTGCTCGGGCTTCTTGATGCTCCATGGCAAGTTGCGAATGATGAGCTTGTTGGGTTTCTGGGCCTCGGCGGCGGCCTCGGCACGTTTCTGCTTCTCCTCGGCGACCTTGGACACAACGGGGCCGGTCTTCTTGGCATCACGGTGTCTGGCTTCGGCAATATCGAGCTTCAGGCGCTTTCCTTGAAGCAGATAGTTGTTGAGCTTGGCCTTGGCCTCGAGGGTATCCTCGGGGTCGGTAAAGGTGACGAAACCATAGCCGCGCGAGGTCTTGGACTTGGGATCGAGGACGACGGTGGCATGCTTCACGGGGAAATGTTGGGAGAAGAACTCGGTCAGGGACTCGGCGGTGGCACTTGGGGGCAGCTGTCGGATAAAGAGAGAGCGGTTGGATTCAACTCTAGCTTTCTTGCTTGGGGGGTGGTGTGCAGCAACATCGGAATCCTTGATGGCATCGGGATCAACTGGGATCTCCTCGTCCACCTCGCGTTGGCGCTTCTTGTTCCCGTCCTTGCCCATTGTTGCAGGCGGGTTGTGTGGTGATGTGTTTGTTGGGTGTGGTTGTTGATGTTGTTGAAAATCAATCCAAAAACAAAGTGTAGTGAAGTGACCCTCTCAATGCACAATGGGGGATGGGAATCACCGAGTACAGCTTCCCCCAGCGACAACAGTTCTGGACCCTTCGCCCAAAGAAAAATATTCGAGGTGGAGTCCCGATAAGAACGTACAGGGGAGCTTATCGTTCCGTCAAGCTTGGCATCTCTCGTGCGCTTCCACTCTGCGGGGCGCACAGACCACTCAGGCACAAGCTTGTTGGTTCGTGTTCTGCGACAGAAGAGACGGACAGTGCAGCGAGCAGCGACCCCTCTCCAGGTCCCGCTGACGGGGGCCGCTAGGAAATTCACGGCAGCCCAGTGCAAAGTAAACAAAACAACCTTCGCGGATAGTGTCACTTTCATCTCGTCGTTGCAAGCCATCCTACGAAACCTCACCACGTCTTTCTTTTACCTTTTTTATTTTATGTTGGGTTTGAATTACTTGTACTTCTTCTTCATCGCATACAAATAGAGGACTGCCGCTGCGCAGGCCCCGCTAATACCAACAGCCGTTGCCGACCATGGCGCCGGGCAGATCGACGAGGGCGACACGCGGGTCGCGTCAGGCCTCGGTCGTCCCAGAAGCACCCTTGGATACTCCCGACAATGCGCTACGGACACAAGTCGCAACCGTCTTCCGCGACGCCCAAAAGACCACGGCATCCCATCGCAAGCTGGCCGTGACCCTGCGCAAGATCCAAGAAGCATGCTGCTACGAGCCGACGAGTACGAAGAAGCCTGCCGAGGCCGACGAATTCGAGGAGGATGACTTCAACAAGGAGTTTGTGCGCTGCGTCCTGCGCGTCATGCCCATCAAGAAAAGCGAAGGAGTCGGCGAGAAGACTGTCCGCTTCATCGGTCTGTTCCTGCGGCACGCCGTCGAGAAGGATAACGAAATTCTCGGCGAGGCCGACCCGGATGCCAGCACCATGCCCGAGACACCCAGCACCCGACTTACCGGACATTTGATGGAATCCGTTCTTCCCTTGATGATCGCCAAGGACAAGTTCGTGCGCTACCGATCAACCCAGCTTATATCCCATATCATCAACTCCCTCGAGGCGATTGACGATGACCTCTTCCAGAAACTGCGGTCAAGTCTACTTAGGAGGATTCGTGACAAGGAGGCCATGGTTCGCGCACAAGCTGTGCTGGGTCTTGGACGCTTGGCCGGCAACCAGATTGAGGGCGAACCGAATTCCGACGATAGCGACGATGATGGATCGACCGGTCTCCTCGAAAAGCTCCTCGAAGTCTTGCAGAACGACCCTAGTGCCGATGTGAGGAGATCTCTCCTGGTTAACCTGCCGATTTTGCCGACGACCCTGCCATACCTGCTGGAACGAGCACGCGACCAAGATGCGCTTACGCGGCGCGCTGTCTACTCCCGTCTCCTGCCTGCGCTGGGTGACTTCCGCCATTTGTCACTATCTATGAGAGAGAAGCTTCTTCGCTGGGGTCTACGCGACAGAGACGAAAATGTGCGCAAGGCCGCCTGCCGCCTGTTCCGTGAGAGATGGATCGAGGATTGCGCTGGTACTGCGCCCCCTGTTGAAGGAGGCCAGCCTTCCGAGGTGTCACCTCCAAGCATGGAGGCTTTGCTGGAGCTCTTGGAGCGCATTGATGTTGTCAACTCTGGAGGGGAGAACGGTGTCGCTCTCGAGGCTATGAAGGGCTTCTGGGAGGGCCGTGCCGATTACAGAAATGCAGTAAATTTCGATGACAATTTCTGGGAGACGCTCAGCTCGGAATCCGTGTTTGTTGCTCGGACATTCAACGACTTCTGCAGGAACGAGGGCAATGGGAAATATGAGTCCCTTGTCGACGAGAAGCTACCCGAAGTCACCAAACTCGCATTCTACTTGGAGCGATACGTCAAGGTGCTTATCGATGCCATCAAGAGGATTAACGAGCAGGAGGTGGAAGACGAGGACGAGGAAGAGGACACTGTCGAGCAAGAGTTCATTGTCGAACAGCTTCTCCATATCGCCCTTACCCTGGACTATTCGGATGAAGTCGGCCGTCGCAAGATGTTTGCCCTTTTGCGACAAACCCTCTCTATTCCGGAGCTCCCCGATGAAGTCACTAAACTCACTGTCCAGGTTCTGCGAGACCTTTCCGCCCCCGATGCGGCCGGTGAGAAGGAATTCTGCAGTATTGTGCTTGAAGCCGTCGCCGACGTCCACGACACCATCGTTGACGATGTTCCTGACGAAGGCGACATTGATGACAACGAGTCCTTTCACTCAGCTAGATCCGAGGTCAGCGACGACGAAGATTCTCAATCTAAGAAAAAGAAGAACAAGGGTCCTGAACTGTCGGAGGAGGAGGCGGCTCAGAAGGCCATCAAGGAGATCATGATTAACATGAAGTGTCTCCACATTGTGCAGTGCATGCTCACCAATGTCGCTGGCAATCTCCAGCGAAACGATCATCTTGTCTCCATGCTCAACAACCTCGTCGTTCCCGCCGTGCGCAGCCACGAGGCCCCTGTTCGCGAGCGCGGTCTCGTCTGTCTCGGCCTTTGCTCGCTCCTCGACCGCTCGCTTGCCGAGGAGAACCTCACCCTGTTCATGCATTTCTTCGCCAAGGGCCACATTGCTCTCCAGATCACCGCCCTGCATATCCTTACCGATATTCTCAACGTTCACGGCGCGCAGCTGCTCTCGAATAACACCAATCTCCTCAAGGTCTACGTCAAGGCCCTGCGCGCCGGCGGCAGATCTCCCGAGGTCCAGGCTGCCGCTACCGTGGCCGTCTCCAAACTGCTTCTCGGCCGCGTGGTCAGCGATGTTGACGTCTCTGCCGAGTTGCTCAGAACCCTCGTCATCGCGTACTTTGAGCCCGCCAGTGCAGAGAACCAGAGCGTCAGGCAGGCGCTCAATTACTTCTTGCCCGTGTTCTGCTACTCGCGACCAGAGAACCAGGACCTGATGCGCCGGGTTGCGCTGGATGCGCTGCATACATTGTACAACGTGCGTGAAGGCCTGGATGACGAAGAGGCCGATGTGGATGATCAGATGGTGAGCATGTCCACCATCGCTGCCTGCTTGGTCGATTGGACGGATCCCAGAAAGTGCTACAACCCCGATGAAGGGTTTAGCGCAGGCCTTGACCCCGAGAAGAAGACCGTTTCGGCAGATGTCCACCTCGACTTTGCCAAGGATATTCTCGAAAGGTTACAAGGAAACGGAGCCAGTACGTATCTCCCTAGCATCATGTTTTTCTCTTCCTCCCGCCGAATCGTGTGATACTGACACCCAGAAACAGAAGAAGAAAAGCGCATCATGGCCGCCCTCCTCGCAAAGCTCTACATCCCCTCCGGCTCCTCTTCCTCCAACCCGTCCTCGCCCATCAAGATCCGCGACGTCTACGCCCTCGTCACCAACGCCGTCGAGAACAACCTGCTCTCCGACGCCACCTCCCGCAACGCTCTCTACAAGATCCACGTCTCCCTCGGCAAAATCGTCAACGCCTTCGACGCCGCCGCCGAGCAAGACGCCGCCAACAACGCGGCGGGCGGCCGCCACGCCTCCATCGCCTCCGGCGCCACCAGCCATAGAAGAAGCGCCAGCAGGGCAGGTAGCGTCGTGCCTCCGGCTAGCAAAGCTGGCGGCGGCGGTGGGGCTGTCTCCAGAGCCGGCTCCGTCGCACCATCTGTGTCTGGCGCTGCTGCTGCTGCTGCTGCTGCTGCTGCGCCTGTTAACGGCAGGAAGAGAAAGGAGAGAGAAGTCAGCGTTGCTGTCTCCATCAAGGAGGAGGACGAGGAGGGCGAGGATGTGGACGTGGAAATGGGCGGTACCCAAGTCGGTGATGATGATGATGGTGATCGGGAATCGACGCCAAAACCGACTGCGACAGAAGCTCAGGAGCCGAGCACGGAGCAGAGGAGGTTGTTGAGAGGCGTTTCTGTTAGGAGTAGGAGGCAGAGTTCGCAGAGTGTGGTGAGTGTGCAACAGCAGCAGCATCAACAAGAGGAGGAGCAGGAAGAGCAACAACCGGCTGGGAGGAGAGGGAGTAGGAGGGCGAGTGCGATGAAGGCCAAGGCGCGGTTGAGTGCTGGACGGAGCAGTAGAGCGGGTACGGAGGATATTGTGGAGGAGATTCTGGATGATAGTGATGGAGATACGGTGATGGAGAGGACGAAGATTGAGGAGGAGGAAGAAAAAGAAGAGGAGGAGGTGCAGGAGGGAGATGAAGAGGACGAGGAGGATGGTGAGGGAGGGGAAGAGGATGGGGAAGAAGAACGGGACGATGATGTGGAGGATGGAGAGGATGAAGGGAAAGATGATGATGAGCTTGTTGACGAGTTGCTGTCAGACGATGATGACGACTCTGAATAGGGTTGCGTACGGGTTAAGCCAGAGACCCTGGTTTGTTGAAGTACATATGAACTGACTTGATTGGGTTTGGATGGGACACTACGATATGGAGGCTGTGTTTTTGGCTTGGCTTTATGTCTTCGTTTTCTTGCTTGCTATCAAGCCTTGAGCTTCTTGAACTAGGACGTGTTGGCTTGGTTTTTTTGTCCATGGAAATTGCAGGATACCAATGAATAAAACGTCAAAGGGCTTTTCTTGTTTGCTTCCATGCATTCCATTTTTCTGATCACCTCGTCGAGGCTATGCTGCCGAATCTCAATATTTTATCTGCTCCTTACATCTAGCTTCTAGATCTACTACAAGCAACCAACACAGTGACACATATATCACATCATCATCTCACACCACCCTTCCCCATGTTCCTCCTCCTCTTGGACCAAACCACACGAACCCTTAAGTTAACCTACAACGACCCGAGCCAAAACAACAACCCACCCAGTCCAACATTCACCACCAAATGCTGACCCAAGCTCCAAGCCACGCAGTACAAGTACTTTGGCGAAAACACCGTCCACACGAACAAGTGCGTCCTAAGAATCGTACAAGCCGCCATGACCGCCGCGACACTAAACGCCGTAAACAGCGTCATCACAGCAACATAGGTCTTGAACAGACCGATTCGTCCCTGCTCCTCTACCATGCTCACTTCCGCTTCCCTTTCTTCGTCCCCTCTCTTCCCATCACCGCCGCTACCTAACCTCTTCTGATTCTGATCTCTCCGCCAAATCTTCCCCAAAAGCACCACCGTCCCAAAAACCCACCACACCGGTCCCGCCCAATTCCCCACGTACGTCAAGACGCCAACCAGGACAACGTTAAAGTCGCTTACCCCGTTATAGGCATTAGATAGATCAACGGACGAAATGGCGTTGCTCCCGCCCATAGCGAAGAAGGAGGCGTACTGCAGGAGTAGGGAAGAAATTCCCAGTTCCGCGGTCGACAGACTTTTACCACCGTCCTCCGGGGCGTCAATCTCGTTGGATAGGAACCAGTAGACCAAATTGAAGATGAGAAACAGGGGGGTGTTGGTCGTCCGGCTTTGTGTGAGGGCGAGGATGGTGTAGAGGTGTTGGAGGGTTGTGATGGCCTCGGCCCGGGCCGGCACCTTCTTCTTCGATGCCAGCGCCAGCCGCTTACTTCTGCTTCTTCTGCTTCGGCGGCCCCCCATCTTCCATTCCCACAAAATAAACCCCATCCCCGCCGCTGTCGCCAGCCCAAGGCCAACAAACACCGCTCTAGCTCTCGCAATCAAGCTCGCGCCCCTCGTGAAATCAAGCAGACTACTCTTGACAAACCCCACCACCAACTCGGGCGCATCTTCTAGTGTAAACGCCGCCTTGAAAGTAAACGCTGCCAGGACCAGGCCCGTCATGGCCGGGTAGTTGATGGGGACCGGGATGCGCCCGTGGAAGGAGTAGACGAGTTGGCGGTGGGTCCAGACGTAGGTGAGGCCGACGAGCAACCAGAGAAAGTGTGGGTGGGGTTCGAGGAAGAGCTTGACGATGTCTGGGGTGCCGGCGAACTTTTGGCCGGTTTGGTTCCAGGCGCGGAGGAGGCGGAGGGAGAGGAGGATGGGGGTGGTGGTGAGGAGGAGGTGGGAGGGGAAGGTGGTTGTTGTGCTGGAGATTTTGTTAGTTGTTTGGGGGGCATGAATGGAAGGGAAGGGAAGGAAGGGAAGGAAAGGGGGATGAGAAAAGAAAGAAGACGTACCGCTTGAAACCGCGGAGGGTGAGGTAGCCAAACCAAGTGCTCGTTGCTAGATACCAGAAGTGATGCTCTTCTTCGACGTAGCTGCTGGCGAACATCATGATGCTATAGGCTATGGAGATGACCAGTAAGGGGGTGAGGGAACGGGTTGGGGAGACGGTTTTGGTTGCTGCATATAGGCTGAAGATCACGGCGAGGAGGGCGGCGACTTGGCCTAGGATGAGTCGGGACATGTCGTAGTTGCTTGCCATGCCGCTCATGAGCTCTTGAGCCTTACGAAGCCACTGAAAGACGGTTAGCTGGATCGGGGAGGAAAAGTCTGTTAATGCTTACCATAGTGACAGGCAGTGCCCACTGAGGGTCCATGTCGTCGCCAACTCTAGCAGACATGAGAATGTTTGAAGGACCTTGCCATTCACAGGCGAGTTCTTCGTAGTCGGACGAAGGGTTGGCGCAGGATGATACGGGTAAAGCAGAGTCGAAGGTTTTGGTACCCGAAGCAGCCGAGATGACGGTTTGGATCTGGCGAGCGTTTTGATGCAGCAAATAGGCCTGGTCGGCTTCTGTAGTCTTGTTAGGAAAAGGAATGACCAGAAAGTTTGACGGCTTCACAGCTTACTCTTAGGCCAGATGGACAAGAATTCGGGGATCAGAGCACCCAGATTGTTCTTGGGAATAGGGAATCCTAGGAGAGCAGCCAACGTAGGCGCCAGATCAGACTGTTCAACGGTCGAGTAGAATTGAAAGTCTTCGGCATCTGGTAACGGAGCGTCTTGGTTTTTCTGGAGGCCTTTGAGCTTGGGGGAGATGAAAAGGAGGGCCGGTGAAGTCTCGCCAGGCGATGAGGCGCCGTGATTCCCGGCATCGTTCATTCCGTGATCTCCACAAACAATAAAGAGTGTTGACTTTAGGTGGTCTTGGGTTTCTATGGCCTTGTATATCTGGTTGACGATATCATCCATTTCCCGCTGCTTCGGGACCATATGAGGACTGTGTGGCTAGTTAGTAATGTGCATAATGAGATGTGCAAGGTGACCTTACCTTCTCGGTCCTCCCTTATGTCCAATATGATCAAGTCCGAGATAGTGAAGAATCATGGTATTCCAGTCGTCATTTTGGAGCTCTCCAGCAATATTTCGAGTGACATTATGATCAACCTCGGTGAAGTCCTACTCACGTTAGCACAGAGCCGACGCCTGCCTTGCAACCGTAGATACTTACAGAAACAAAGAAGCTCGTGGTGCCATCAGCACGATCAAATGTACCCGGAAAGAGCTTCAACCAAGTATCATCTCCGTACATTACTAGCTTCCCAGTACCCTTTGCCTTCATCTGAGCCAGCCAGGTGTCTTGCGACGCGAGGCTTGAGGACTCATCGCCTTCGTCGAGGTTGAGAACGACATCGAGGAAAGATGGCACAGAGCCTGTAGTGATGGCCTTCAGTCTAGGCATGGTGACTGTGGGAGACGTGGCATGAGCCGTGAAGGGAATTGCAGCACCATTGCGAATCAAGCTATATGAGATGTCAACATTCCAGATCTACGGAAGTCGAGGAAGTGCGCAGCTTGTGGAAGAGCTTACGATTGAGTGAACTTGAAGCCACTGTTGGTAGTATATACAAAATCACTACATATAAACCCCGGATTAACATGGCTACTTGACGATGGGCGGTATTGGCGATGGAGACATCTCTTTACCTTCGCAGTGCGTCAACTACCATGAAGACCAGCTTGTCAAACGGAGCTTCCGGCGGCTCACCATAGCCATCCAATGGCCCATACTCAGCCAGACCCGGTAGAAGAGGCTTATATGGGAAGAAGCCAGTTGCGAATATGACAATGGCGACTGGGATCAGCAGATTGGCTGCTATGAGAAGCAGCGTGGAGCTCAAGCTCCCATTGCGCCGGGAACTCATCTCGACTCGCCAATTTCTAGGTGTGCCTGATCGGAGGGGAATGTGATGTTTGCCAGTAAAACTAGAAGTTGCACTCGTGGGCCATTTCTGTGTCGCGAACGGAGAAAAGTCTGGGAAGATGAGAAATGTGTTCAGAATAGATTATTTGTTGATGTTGTGAGGTACAGGTGAGGTTGTTAAGGTAACAGTGGAAGAAAGGGGCCAGTGAGGTTCAGCCCACAGCAGTTGGCTTCCACCTAAAGTCCCTTCCCATTTCAGGTTCGTTCCCCAGAAGCCCAGGCCTTCGAAGGATTGGCATTGGCCCCACTTGGAGAACAGCGTTAACGCTGTGAGACTGTGAGACCTCTAGAACAGCATGCTAGCCTAGAAAAAAAAAATGCATTAAAATCAAGAGACCCAAATGCGCCAAGTGTAGATAATCCCACCCCACCGTCCGTTTGCTTCTTTTTTCCATCCCATATGACTGAAGTTCTTGCTTTTCCGCAACGGCGTCGGCGTCAGCAACGCGGAAGATTGAAAAACTCCATCAATCCCGTCTATGCAGAGGACCAGTGAAGCCCAAGACAGACCAGGAAAACGAGGCCTGCCACCAAAAGGTCGTCATCCGCACCATCTCCTCCCATCCCATTCCTGGATGCCCGGCGCTGCCTTTTCATCGTGATAATAGGCAACCACTAGGACATGTCTGGAGCATGAGAGAGTAGTTGTAGTCGTTCTTTGGTGGCTAAGCCTCTCCAAAGCCTAGGCCACACCGGTAATGCTTTTGGTCGTCTGTCGAAACTCAGCTGCTCAAATTGAAGTCGCTTGTCGTTCATTTCCTCTTCTTGCTGAACTTCTCGCCATACTTGGGGAAGACGATCTTGGACTTCTTGACCCGCCTCTTCTTCTCAATCTTCTTGCTGCCAACCTTGACGGGCTTGGCGGAATCAACCTCCATAGCAGCTGTGACTTGGTCAGTACATGGCCCTCGTTTGCATCCTACTCTTCCAGCTACACTTACAGTCATCCTTGGTGACCTCCTTGGCCTCATCCTCGTTCACGGTCTCCATCTCAACCTCCTTGATGGGCTTGGGCTCAGCAGCAAGCTCGATGAGCTTGGCAGAGATTCTCTCCAAACGAGCGGCCTCAACAGGTCCAAAGACATTCTTCTTCAGTTTCTGGTTGTTGTTCTTGATGACGGACGCTCTCTTGCTCTTGGCCATTTTTGCGGTTTAAAAAAGGGTTATGTGGTGTTGTGTTTTTGAAAATGAAGTAGATGGATGAGAGTTGATCTTCTCAAAAGGTTGGCTATGCGGTACGGAGGGAGTGTATAAGATGTCGTTATTGCCGAGTTGAAAAATTCCACTGGATCAGCACAGGCGACCTGAGTTCTCCGCTAAATTTGAGGGTAGCCTAGAAGTAGTTAAGACTTTGTCGTTCACTGGCTTACTCCGTCCGACCAAGTATCAGGTACTTCACCGCAGCACTCTCCAATAGGCTCAACGGTACCTGCCGCCGCTTACCACTACTGTAACTGACCCACCTTACCCGCCAGATAAATACTGCTAGCGATCCACAGGTTCCTGCCCGGCACCCTTTCTGCCGCCTCCTCCCGCCTGTTCATATCGACGACGCCTTTGGACTTTGGAGCAACCGGCCGAGGGCTACGAAAGCGATAGCGACTGTTTTCTTACAAACGGAGTGACGATTATTTGGCGCATACACGGGCTTGTTTTTCGAACTGGGTTTACCGCGCAGGGTAGCAAATCACTACCGGGCATCGCGGTACCGTCTTGACGTTCACGCATTTGCCTAGAGTGCCAGTGCGCAGGCCGCAGACAGCGACAGCCGGCTCTGTGTGACCGATCTCATTCAGTGTGCGAGTTTAAATTATAAATCCATCTCCATCTCGCGCCGTACATCACGGTGACGCCGGCGCCTTTAGCAGCCACAGGTCCGCACCACCTACGATACCCAACCTGAACCTCGACGTCCCGCTGTCCTAGGTGTCGCTGCCTTGAGCGCATCGGGTACTTACGCTCCCAAATCCTCGGTTCACCCTCCCATCACTCCTTCCTCACAACCCGACGCGCCATCCGAAGTGCGCGCCCACACTCCCACTTTCCCAATAATACCTTGACGGCCAACTGCGGGGCTGTAGGTATTCCTTGACTTGGACCATCCGCGGCCGGTCGCGACCAGGCAACAACACTACACGACCGGGCACCACACCACGCTCCTATAAATTCGCATCTTCAGTTTATAAGCCCAGCGTCGGCAAGCAGAGGTTGGAATCGTTAATACCGGTCGTTGAGGGGCAGAGGGGAAATGGATCGTGCCGGCCCTCCTCCCAAAGACAAGGTTGAGGCCCTTAAGGCGGTCGCAAAGAACGCTGGGGTCAACAAGACACAGCTGCAGTCCCTCTGCGCCGTCAATGGTTTGCCCAAGACGGGAAACAAGCCTGATTTGGTGAAACGCCTTGTCGACGGTGAGTATGCCCTCAGTTGGCCGTCACCTCCTTATTTCCTTACCTTCACCCTCCCGTCATACAGGCGAAGATATTATAGGAATGCAGACTAACACAAAAGGTCTTCAACCCCAACTAGCTATCCAGCAATGCGTAGCGCGCGGCGACGGCAGCACTTTCAATACATTCTACAACAGTTTCGAGACAATCGTACCCTGGTTCGATACCTTTGTGGCTAACACGGGTCTGCTGCAGCAAACTATTAAGCCTCAACCGCCGCCGTATTCCCAAACCGCAATCTACCCACCAGCTCCAGGTCACGGAAACACTTCCAACAGCTATGCCATGGCTTCCTACGGCGTGGCTAACGGCTCCTACAACGCGCCCAAGGGCGTCAGCAGACCACTTGACTGGTATAACCAACAACGTCACGAATTCCAGTTCAAGCCCAGCGTCTTCTATGAAATACAATACCGAATCGGGGAGGTCAGGGACTGTGAACGTATGTTAGGTAAGCCAGTATCGTTCCGCCTCTGGACACAACCGCTGAGTCTCGAAAACAGCGATGCAGCAGCATAGGCAAACTGTCTCCATCAAGCTCAGGATCTCGGATTATCCCCAGCTCAACAACGTCGGATACGACCCTTCACTGAGGATCATGATGTACTGTGCCGCTGGAAAAAATGGCGTCCAAGACATCGCCTTTCCCTACCAGTCGGAGCTCAAGGTTAATGGCGGCGAGGTCAAGGCAAACCTGCGAGGCCTGAAGAACAAACCTGGGTCTACTAGACCGGTTGACATCACGGACTCGCTTCGTCTGAAACCAAACACATACCAAAACAACATCGACTTTACGTATGCCCTCACCAGAGAGGTAGGTGTAAGAGGAAACTGGGTATGGGAACCCGCAGAGAGCTGCATGTGCTAACCAGTTGTGTTGATAGTCTTTCTACCTAGTAGTATACCTGTGCAAAACCCCGACTATCGAGGAACTGGTGTCGAGAATCACCAAGAAGATCCGTGCCGAGTCGGTGGTTACCGAGATTGCAAACAAGGCTAACGACCCTGACGTGGTTGCTACATCACAAGTCCTAAGTCTCAAGTGCCCACTGTCTTACATGAGGTTAAGTAAGCCGTGCCGAGGCCTGAACTGTGGTCATATTCAATGTTTTGATGCCACTTCATACCTCCAACTCCAGGAGCAAGGGCCACAGTGGTTATGTCCCATCTGCAGCAAATCTGTTCCGTTCGACCAACTGGCGATTGATGAGTAAGTTGCAACGGTACTACTGTCTCTGCGGTACTGGCTGACACGCATTCCAGGTACGCCAAGGGCATTCTCGAAGCGACTCCCAAATCTGTAGAGCAGGTCACGATTGAGCCCACCGGCAAGTGGATAGAACCAGGCGCGGAAAAGGTGACGGTGCCCGACTCTGCCGAGGCAAGCTTTGTCGATGACGATGACCTGTATGTTTCGGAAGTCCTCTCGGCAGCAAACCACGGCTTCTCGACGCCCGGTCGTTCTACTACCGGCGCGTCAACTACACTTATCGGCACTCCGATGAACGGAAGCACAGGAGGCACGCCTTCACTGGCGAGGTCATCGAACAATAACAACAAACGTCCAGCGCCAGAAGTTATTGATTTGACGCTGTCAGATGACGACGAGCCACCCAGGCCTGTGAAGCGGGCTAACTACGGGATCAACGCGTATTTTGGGCCCAACTCTTAGGGGGAAGTATAGGATGCTACAGACGTACGTCACCAGCACGCTTCAATGCGATGGGGTCGCCGTGCTCCCCGTCGTCGTGACAGGCCGGCGCAGTGGGCAAATGATCAGGCGGATTATTCCCATCAGCCGGACTTTGGGGAAGTATAGGATGCTCAATATTGGCTTGAGAGGCTCGCTTGGGCAACAGGAGGCCGGATTGTTTCCCTTCACCGGCCCTAGCTGAACACCATGTCCACTGGGTATCCTTTTTCTTCTACCAGACCAGCTTGATTTTACCTTTTTTTATTGCATTTTCGACATGGTGTATCTGGGGAGGCATTTTTATCCGTCTTTGGCGTTGGGCGCACTCAGATGGAAGGAAAAGGTTCTATGGGAGAAGTTTCAGGGATGAGGTACAGTGAGATATGAAAGGAATGAGGAATCAGTACTAGGATGCAATTCCGATACCCAGTAAAGTGATACGACATGAACGGTGTATTGTCTGGAAACTGTATTGTACATGAAAATTGATCATAGAATGATGCTATTCACCACTGAAACGTAACGCCTACATGAGCCATAAAGTCTTTCGGTTTTGAAAGTCTATGTGACAAGCACTTGCAGTTGATTTGGGAGCTTTTTAGCGTACAGTTTGATGGGTCGAGCTTGAAGTGTTCGTGAACGCTCGTGTTATGGCTACACGGCCAGCAGTGGGGTGTTAATAACACTATCCGTCCCAAGCAGCTGCCACTACCAATTGAGATTCGGACGGCAGGCACCTTTCGAACCGCAACAACAGCCCTCCGTCCTCCCCTTACAACGAACATACTTGACTCGCTCCGAACTCTCGACCAAGACGATATTTACCATACAGGCTTTCCACTCAAATATAGTTAATTCGTCAAGCATCACGACATATTCGATTTGGCCCATCGGAACCGGCAAGAGTCCCAGCACCCGAACCCCACGGACAAGCTCCGAGCTACCCTGCGTCACCGCGATCTTCCGATAAACCGGCGGACCGAAGAAGACAGGATCGAAGTCAACGCACGCCAGTCACAGATCTCCGGCTTGCAACTGCGCAGCATTCCGACGAGCAGAACCCGAGCCCGTCACTTGTCCACACTCGCGCGACTCGAACGAATAGCCGAAGTCTTCTCTACCACCGGGACAATCAACCAGCGACGCAACCGCTCTCCCATCAGCAACAGCTAGCTCCTTACCCGCAAGCGCACAATACCTGCGACATACGTACCTGCCTTGCCTTCTTTCCTCGACGACTACCTAGTACCAAACGACATTAGACCCGGTGCTTCAAATCCCATTCACTCATCTTCCAACAACCAGCAACAGCTACCTCACATAATCACCAAACCAAACCAAACCAAATCAACCCACAAAAATGTCCTTCGACACAATACTCCCCCCCTACAACGCCTCGGACCCAACCGCCCGCTTCCTCGCCTCCTCCTGTCTCGATTTCCTGCTTATCGAGCTAGTCCCCATGGCGTACAGGATAACCAACCAACTCGATTCCGCTTCTCCGTCAGACCCTTCAGGAGCCGGTGGTGGTGACGATGCGCAAAGTACAGCTACGGGTCCAGCGGCAGGGGTTGGGCCACAGAGGAATAGTGTGTTATCTGGTGGGACGGGAGGCGGGTTAAGTCCTGGTGGGTTGGGGGCAGGTCTAGGGGGAGGAGGAGGAGGAGGAGTAGGGAGTGTGAATGGGAGTGGTGGGAGTGGAAGGAAAATGGATGAAGATGAAGAAAGGGATGCGGTTTTTGCTAGGCTGGAGGGGTTGGGGTATCGGGTTGGGCAGGGGTTGGTTGAACGGTATGTTCTGCTCGATTGTTGATGCGCTACGCAAGGAATACCTACCGGGCAAGAGGATACTGACTGACGGACACAGATTCTCCCGCGACCGACCACGCTTCAACGACACGCTAGACGTCATCAAGTTCCTCTGCAAAGACCTTTGGACGCTGGTGTTCAGGAAACAGGTGGATAACCTCAAGACGAACCATCGGGTACGTTTCTTCTCTTCCCCTTCCCCCTTCCCCCCCGTCTTTGTTATGCTCCTAGCTAACACCGACACACAAAACAGGGCGTCTACGTCCTAACAGATAACTCCTTCCGCCCACTATCGCGAATGTCCGCAGAGACGAGTAGCCAGGCCATAGCCAGGGCGCAACCAGTACGTTTTGACCCGGACCCTCCTTTCACACACACGCACACACAATTTGTGTCTCTTTTACTCGCCCGAGTATGATGTACGTTGCTAACAAACCCTCCCATCACAAGTTCCTTTGGTTCCCATGCGGTGTAGTCCGCGGCGCCCTCGCAGCAATGGGCATCAACGCGACAGTCACCGCTGAGTCAAGCGAGCTTCCTGCGGCGGTATTCCAGATCAAGACGATCAAGACGCAGAACTGATGGAGTCTTCAAAGCTTTCAGTTGCACCCGAGACCTTTATTCTTATTGCATGGCATAAGCCGGGCACTTTGGGCCCATACTAGCGGTGTTTGTTATGGTATTCTGGAAGAAAGCAAAAGTAAAGTTGTATTTATACAAAGCTTCATGGGACACAAGGCGTTGGCAAAGAGCACCATAATAAGCATAGCGAACGATATTCACACCAACGTATCAATACACTTTCAAATCACTCGAGCAGAAGTGCATAAAATTAAGTTTATTTTCATCCCCCAGCCAGCGCACAGTTCAAGCAGAACCTTCCCATGCTACTACAAAGCAGTCCAGTCTTTCCAGGCATACAGCAATCATATGCCCCCATATCCGAAGGTTGGGCGCAAAGCGGCGCTTGCGATATGTGAGTCTTATTCGTCAAGGCGACGGGTACTGGACCCGGCGCACCGGGAAGAAGCTGATGATACGTGCGAAGGGGAGAGAATGGGTATAGGTCGTCCGGGTCATATCAGTCGTCGATTATCCTGTTAACTTTTTTACAGCCTAGAAAGGGAATGAGTATCAGTCCACCTGTACTTGAACTTCATATGGTCTTCATATTTTATTCTTCATCTACAGCTTTGTGTGGTTATGTATTGGCTATATGAGAGCCACCCAACCAGGATCATAGCCTTCATCATGCATGAAACTTAAGAAACGCAAGGGGATAATTTCACAAGCAAAAATCAAAGGGGTATCTACTTCTGAGGGGGGTTGTGGGCAAAGTCAACACCCTTCTGGATGTTGCCCTTGAGGCCCTTGACGGCAGCCTCGAGGAGAGTCTTCTCCTTCTCGGTGATGTCGCCGAGGATGTCGATAGCCTTCTCAGCACCGTTGGGCTGTGGAGATGTTAGCCAAAAACACCGTAAATGAGGCGAGGACTGAAACTTACGCCGAGCTCAACGGGGACGGAGAAGAAGTCAACACCAGTCTTCTCCGCGATCTCCTTGCCACCGGGGATACCGGGGAGGTAGACGTAGGTGGGCTCGACAAGGCCCTTGGCACCCTTGGCGGCCTTGAGGAGCTTCTCAGCGAAACGGTAACCGGCATAAGCCATGGAGAGGGTGGCAGAGCCGAGACCGTCCTTGGCCTTGACGACCTCATCACCGCCGAACTGGACGCGGTTGACAAGAGCGTCGTACTTGTCGTCAGGGATGGTGACCGAGGGGGTAACCTTGCTGAAGAGAGGAACGATGGTCTCGCCGGAGTGGCCACCAATGACGGGGACAACGAGCTCCTGGGGGTTGCTCTTGCCAGCAATCTCAGCAACGAAGGTCTCGGCACGGACAATGTCGAGGGTGGTGACACCGAAGAGGCGCTGGGCGTTGAAGACACCCTTGGCTTTGAGGACCTCGGCGGAGATGGGGACAGTCGAGTTGACAGGGTTGGAGATGACGAGGATGAAGGCGTTGGGGGCGACCTCAGCAGCAACCTCAATCAAACCCTTGACGATACCGGCGTTGATGTTGAAGAGATCATCACGGGTCATGCCAGGCTTGCCTGTGAGAAAGCTAATTAGTCTCCGTTTCACCACATCCAGCAGCGCGCATTGCCACTTACGGGGAATACCAGCGGGGATGACGATGATGTCGGCATCCTTGAAGGCGGTCTTGGCGCCGTCGTTGGGGGGGAGGTAGCCGGTGGTTTTCTAATGCGCCAGGTGTCAGCCAGGTTCTGCGGGGTCCGTGGTGTTTTCATGTCCTTGGCGACAACCAGCGCAAAGCCGGTGCTGGCTACTTACGGCGGGGGAGGAGATGTGAGAGAGATCGGCAGCGACACCGGGGGTGTTGACGACATCGTAGAGAGCGAGCTCGTCAACGAGAGGAGAGAGCTTGAGGAGGAGGGACAGGGGCTGCGGCACATGTGGTCAGCCATGCTTCCATCTCAACCTCCGATCCGCGCAGTTCGGCGCGGGATCTCCCATGGCCAAGTTGGGATAAAACTCACCTGTCCGATACCGCCAGCGGCGCCAGCAACAACTGTGCATAATGTCAGCTTCCTGCCACCGTTGCCTCAGACTGCAGAGGAGCGCAGATGGACGTTGTGTAGCTTACCGGCCTTGACCATTTTGAAGTCTGTAGATATTTAAAGCGGGGGAGGGGTAATTCTGGAGAGGAGGAACTAGGGTCAGCTCTAGATCCTGGTCGTCGATGTTTGTTGTATGCGCAAAGGTTCGCAAAGAAGATGAGAGGAGGAGAGGAAAGCGGGAAAGAGGAAGAGATCTTGACTCACATTCGGTGGGTGGACTGGGAGGATGTTGGATCTGAAATGACGGGGAACTTCTGGATCCTGGGGGAACGGGAGCTCGTGGGAGAGCTTCTCTTTATTTACCTTGACCTACGCAGTATAGCTGGGGCCCGGGGCTGCGGGGCTGGCGACCAGGGGGCACAGGCGTCCCTTCTTCCAGACAGGCCAAATCGAGGCATGATGCAGCCAGGACAACGAGCTGCCCCGCTCTCTCTCCAGGTCTCTCCCCCTTCGTTCGCGTCCCGTCATCCGGAGGAGCGAGAATGGGCCATTGGATCGGAATTTGGGGAAGGTGCGGAGTGAGCCATGTCCCCGTTCTTGGCCGCGCCCGTTTAGACGGTGTACACACCATGTTTGCGAGACAATATCCTCAAATTCGATTTCACCTTTACATTCAAATTAATCATTACAGTAATGCATATGATGTTATGGTCCGCTTTTATACGGCTGTCAAGATCGTGCGAGTTTCATGTGTATTACATGCTCCCTGACAGCAGTAGAGGCGCATGTGCTGCTTCGCTGTCCAGACTTCAGATGATGCCGTTGATATCAACCGCAGTGAACACAGATCCTTGTCCTCGCCGTTGCACCGATAGAAACTCCGGGTTGTCAACTTGCCAGGGGTACCTACGTCCGAACATGTGGTCTCCCGAGGTCCGGCTCGGTTTAGCGTCCTCGGGCAAGTCCGGGGGATCTGCCCTGATGTCATCCGAAGAGGCCCGCTTCCATACCGCTTCCATGGTCATAAGGCCAACAACCCATCCAGTTTGACGTCCCGAATCCAGGGGTATTTGCCATTGTTTTCCAGCTGAGATGGAGTACGATATCCAAATATGGCCCACATTGCCTGGTAGCCCCATGGAGACCGAACCTCTTTCAATGCCGAGGTGTTGTTGCCGGAAGAGGTTGGTGGTAGACTCGGAAAACCGGGCGCCATGCCATCTTGCCGGCCGGTAACCCGTCCACCTTCCCTCATAAAATCACATATATGCTGCAAGCTCACAACATGACCCAGAACAAAGTTGTTGTTCGTCGATGACCCTGCTAGGGTTGATTGATTCATCTGGATATCAAACGCCATGGCCATCCCTGGAATCTGGGACTGGCAACCCTTTTCTGTCCCTTGAACCCCAATCCCATGCATGAAATGTTGTATGCGCCGCCTCTGTCAGCGAGGCTTTTCCAGGCTTAATACACAGACTCCAACTGTCCCCGCATGCTCATCGTCCTCCACGCCTCAGTACATTTAAGCAGAGGCAGCCTTCTTGGCGGCGTTGCCACGGAGCTTCTGGGCGGGCTCGGGCTTGACGGCGCGCTGGGAGCGGCGGATGGCGGAGGCGCGGGCAACAGCGACCTTGAGGAGATCGGGGCGGTAGTTGGCGACCTGGCGGGCGATGGCCTTGTAGGTCCTATACGGGTTCGCATCATGTCAGCAATTCGTTCCCGTGCTGCTGTCGGTTTCTCAGCTGTCATTGTCGGGGTGTACTGACTTGCGGGCAGTCTTGTTAGCACCGAAAGCGCGGGTGTAACGAGCAGAGGGCTTGGTGATGGAGCCAGCCTTCTTGGTGGTCACGACGACACCACCCTTCTCACCAGGGACAACGCCGACGGCCTATTCCAACATTGTCAGTTCCATGTGTTCGTTCGGTCGATATGCGACGTGCGTCGGTGAGGTTTCTCAATGTACCTTGTCGTTGACGAAACCAGCATACTATTTTCCACAAATGTTAGCCAACATGTCCCCTTTCTCATCATCCCTTCTCTCCCGAATTGTTCGCTCGGTTTCGTTCTTTCGGGCAATCGTACCTTGCGGGAATGCTTGTTGGTCAGGTTGAGGGGATCCCGGGAGAACTGGACACCGCCACCAGAGGTTCTCTTAACGAGGTAAGAGTTCTGGGAGCCTATATGACCGCAAAAACAGAACCGTCAGCATTTCGCCAGGTCCACATACTTCCCAAATCGGCCAGAACCAGAAATTCGGCAGGATCAGAACTTACGGGTGATCTCCCAGATGAGGTCGGCAGAGACGTTGCTAAGAGACATTTTGGCGGGATCTGGGGCTACAAGAAGACCTAGGCGTTACTGGAGGCAGAGTCGAACTTCTCGAAAATCGGGATCACAACCGACAATATCGCTGGATTTTGGCACCAGCACGGTGAATTGTCGCGCCTCAGTGTGTGCTCGCTTAGGTTTCCTAACCTGGCCTAGTGCCACCTGCCGCAGGAACGGCTTGGCGCTCTGACCAGCTGTCGACAGCTCAAGCTTCCCGTAAGCACCCAAGATGTCACCTGCACAGGGTTAGGGGTGGCCTGTGCATCTGTCGGACAGCTTCTGCGCACCGTCGAATTGCTGTTGGTCGATGTTGGGGCACCGTTGCGCTTTGCGACAGCTTGTCACCCTTGCCGCATTCGTCATGGCCCAATGTCCCAAGAGCATGGCAGCGTCTTGGCAATCGTTTTGGGCGGCAGGGCGGGTATCATTCATTCGAGATGCTGTCTGCGCCGCGTGTTCCATCTTGTGATCAATTAAACTTATCCAAAACCATCCCTCACCTGCGCGGACTTTGTTTGCAACAACCGCCCGAGCCTAACATGTCCTGACTTTGTGTTCTTTCTCCCAGTTCTTGTTCATCACCTCCCGGCAACTCACTTTCGTTTCATCCTTGACTCAGTCACTTTCGAACGCAACTACTTAACTCGACTTACATCAGCAGCTACCTCGGCGCGCGCAAGTGGCACTGCAGCCGTACCGGACCACCCGAAGCACGAAAAGTATCGTGATCGCATCTGTCGCAAAGCCCACTGCATAACCACATTTGCCTCTCCAAACTACATTCTTTCTACAGTCGACAGCCTCGCTCTTGTCACACCCATCCATCAAACCATACTCGTTCCAAAATTCGAAAAACAACAACCACCATCCGCCAAAATGATCAACCTCCTCTACGCCCTCATATTCTTCACCCTCCTCTTCTCCACCACGGCCTACTTCACCCGTTACACCTGGCTCCCGCCCTTCCTCGACGCCTTCGACGCGATAGAACCCTACCTGCGCCGCGCTCCCGGCGGCGAATACCTGTACTCGCGACTCCCTTTTACCTCCAACTCGTTCGAGGAGGACATGGAAGCCGGTCTGTCGTCGGCCGACTTTGATCTTGCGGGCAACGTGGGGGGGAGCGACGGTCGCGCGGGTTTGGATGACGAGGCCAAGCGGGAGATCCTCAAGATCATGAAGAGGAGGAGGCTCCAGTTCGACGACGCGAGGAAGCTGTACATGGAGAGGAGGTTTAAGGCGAATGGCATTGGGGCGGATGGGTTGCCGAGGGATCCCAAGTTTGTGAGCTTTTCTTGAGAGGGGCGTGCGAGTGCGAGAGATGGAGATAGAGATGGCGAGAGGGACGGAGAATATGATCGATGGGATCTTCACGACGGAACTGAACGAGGGAGGGACTGGGCGCGAATGCGGAAACCAACCAGCCAGCCAGCCAGCCGCCCCGGATATAAACGAGACGGACAACGGACAACATGGTGAACGAGGCATGCGCAGAGCTTTGGAAAAGGAAATTACCTATCCTCTGTCACAGAAGACGGACGGCCCAGACCAAACAAGAACACCTCTACTCGACTCGACTCATAACCCAGCTTCCCGGGAAACGAGAAACCGCTTTTACCACTTTTCACACCTACACTACATATTTTGACGGGCTGGAACCCAACTAACCAACTGAACACACTCATTCGACCTTTTTATACTACTACTATTACAACAACTGTACCAACACAAACCAACCGACCACTATACTATCATTACAATGACAACACCCACAAATTTCCTTTACTCTTCTTCTTTTTCGTTTCGGAGGTCTGGTCCCTTCTCTCCCTGCGTACATGACCGGGACACAGATGGGCGGCGGCGGCGGCGGCGGTGGCGTCTGGCTTTCTCTTTTTTCTTCTGCTCTTTCCGAGGCTGTCATGTCTGATAGTGGGAAATTCATCTATCTATCTACTCAGTCAGTCACCCAGGCAGAACCCGAAATACCCATTAGCCGGTTTCCCTCTCTATCTCTTTCTGTGTTCTATCTTCCGTTCCAGCAGTCCCTTGAACTTGCATGATGCTGTCAACCAACCCAACTTGCTCTCAACCCTGGTCTTTGGTCTCGTTACTCAATTGCGTGAGGTTAGCTTGAGATACACTATCCAAAGCGGAAATTGCAGGAGGCCTCCAGCTTGGCTTATCTCCGGCACAACGGTTCAAAGCTCAGAAGCGATCGATCCTAGCGTTTTCTTGGCTTTAAAGCTGTGTACATACCCGTGGTGTTATACTGTGTTGTGTTAGTCTGACTTGGTCATTTATATCAATCTGGCTGTACTCCCTCGCCTTGTCCCTTGAAGTAGTAGGAAAGCAAGACATGATGGTAACACTGGTCATACCAGAATACAGAACTCGGAAGTATCTGTCTCCTGTCCAATGGTCGAGCGTTAGTGAGGAGTTGCATGAACCGGAGACGGTGACTGCGTAGGTTTGTGGTTTCTCAAGTTGTTTTGTCTACTCAGATCTTCTTGTAATTTGGGAACTCTATACTCCCTGCTTCCTCGCCTGCTTGCTTGCCTACCTGCGAATTTTTTTGCTGTTATGTACTCCATGACTTTCCAAGCATATGTTCTTCTCCCCAAAACAGCAAGGCTCCGTAAATAATGCTTTATGTGCAGAGTGCGGGTATATAATATGATATAAAGTATGTACAAGGTGTGGGTTATTAAAATCCTTATTTTTCATGATTGTTTGTTTGTTGTTGTTGTCATCAACCCCGTCCGTCCCAACCCAGTTACCTATCCAGTCATCCCATCATTTGGTATATAAGACTAACCTCCTCCATTATGGGCACTATAGTGTACCCCTTTCCTTTTGGTTGGCAGGTCCGGCTCGGTGGGTTTTTCACAGAAGATACATTCGTATCCATGTGGTGTACCCGCCGTTTTCGTTCGGTTCGTCATCGCGCGCGACACCGTCCGTCCGTGCCACCATCCCACATCGCATGAGGATCGCGGATCCTTGGTGTCAGCCAACCACCAAACCCGGGTCCCTGATCCAGGACCACAAGACCGGGTGGCTTGGTCTTGGCCGGATGACGCTGATTCGTCAATCCCTTCTATCTTTTTTTTTTTTTTTTTTTTAAAAAAAAAAAAAAAAAAGAGATCGACCGGGGACTTGTGAGATTTTCCGTCTCTTCAACTCCTTCTCGCACTTCACTTTATTTCGACTTCTTAGTCTCGGTCGGCTCGTAATGCCGATCATCCTCACCCTCCACCTCCTTGACAATCTTCTCCATCTCGTTGACCTGCTTCTTCCACGTCGTCGTGCTCATCTTCTTCTCCTTCTCGAACAGGTCATTGTCGGGCTGCCTGTAGCTGCCGCCGAGGCGGTCCCACAGCGTGGTGAACTGGCCGTAGTTGTAGTTGAAGGCGAAGTGGTGGACCGAGTGGCAGGCGGCGCCGTTGATGACGGGGTTGTTGGCGTAGTACTCGCCGTCGTGGATCATGATGGTCCAGAAGTTGATAAACACAAAAAGGCCGACGTACGCCATCTTCTGGAGCGGGAAGATGAAGGGGAAAACGTGGTAGGGGATGCTCTGGGCGAAGCCGTCGATGGGGTGGAAGGCGTGGCTGGCGTAGGGAGTCGGCATGATCCACTTGTGGTGAGGCTTGTGCAGGTGCTTGTACACGAGCGGGTGGTGAAGGCCGCGGTGGATCCAGTAGATGCCAAAGTCGGTGAACATGATGAAGAGCGGGAACTGGAAGTAGTCGTACCAGCGACCGGGACCCTCGGCCGAGGTGTCGTACAGGAGCGAGTAACCGCGCACTTCGGCGACCAGGAAGGGGAAGGTGAAGAGCGCCATGACGGGCAGGGCGGCGTTGGTTTGCTTAATCTCGAGCCAGACCTGGTTCTTGAGGAACTTGGGGTGCTCCATGGTTTTCTTGTCGAAGATGAAGATGTAGGAGAGGGAGGCGAAGACGTAGTAGGTTACGAGACCGAAGAGCCTGTTGACAACAAAAAGTTAGCATGTTTGCGCCCACTCGGATGTGAAGGAAAGAGGGTTTTCGCGCACCATAGTATTAGGAAGAGCGATAGAGCCTGGCGGTAGATGTTGTCTCTGGCCCAGATACTCTGATAAGCCGCCTGCGAGGGCTCGAGCGAGAAGAACTCCGTCGCGGGCTCATACACCCAGGACGAGAAAGCTTGCGCGGTGCCATTGGTCTTGTCGGGGAAATCGTAAAGAGCAGGTCGCGCTGGTAGTAGCCAGGCGTACATGTAATCGAACATGAACTGGTCAGAGACCTCGAGGACCACGTCCATCTTGACGGTGGTTGTTGGGCTTGCGCGCCAAAGAAGGGAAAATCAAGTTGGGTAACAACAAGCCAAGCAAACTTTCCCGAAGGCCCAGGTCAAGACCGTGTCGGACAGATAAGCAAGACGGAAAAGGCGTGGGGTCCTGCTAGGTTGTTGTGGTGATGGCTGGCCAAAAGGAAAGATAGAGTGAAGGACCGACAACGGGGACGGACGACCAAGAGAGCGCGGGGCAGAAGGATTAAAAAGAAAACGAAGAAGAAGGATGAATAATGGGAAAGAAAGATTTTGCCGCGAATCCGATAGTGACGCTGGCAATAAAGTGGCAGGCCCAATTTCTCAAGTCATAACCACCCCTGAACGATCGGCTTCCCGAACGAGCGTTCGCGTGAAAACAAGGGGACCTTGAGTGTGCCAAGGACGGGGAGGGTGGTTGTCCTTGCTGGCCCCGTAAATCCGTGGGTTGCTCCGAACAAGGACAACAAGCTCTCTCTCACCTGCGATAACGGTACCGTAACAAGCGAACGGATTGAGTTGTGAGTGAAGAGACATTCGGGTGAGTGAAAGGCAAATAGACATATGTTTGCACCAAGTTTCAGCATGAGCTTCACGCAAAAAAATGAATGCGGGATATTGTTTCCCATATTGAGCTTCGTTGTTGAACAATTCATCATCATCACCGATAACCCCTTTTCAGTTTTGCCCAGAGATCTAATCAAATCCGGGTCCCGAATGGGCCGTCTCGACGTCTCCGCATCAATGGAAGCCGATCTATGACTTCTTTTTTTCTCCCCCAACAACGTCAGAGATCCCGTATCCACCCGTCTTTGCATTCTTCGACCAAATGTTCTTTGTTTACCTCGCCAAAGCGTAGTGTGCTCTCACCATCGCAAGTTGACAATAACAAAATGGGCTGTCAACCCAACGTCTCGTCCTCGATGTTGCATGATGAGTGGCACGTTTGACAGGAAGCTGATCTCGATAGTACAAGGGGACCGTGATTGAGCTCCTTGATTGGATGGGCGAACCACATCACTGAACACAAGAAAGTCGAAAGTGATTCAATGGAGAACGCTAGACTCTCGGAAGCAGAACGATGCGAACGACCAAAATGGCGTGGTTTTGGAACGATTCGGAGCCGTGAGGAAACCCCTCCACCCGGTAGATCTTATCTGGGGATGGACACAGCTGATTGGTGATTTCACTCCCTTGAAGTCTTGAACGCCCCCGCATTTAATGTCAGGTACAACTCGGACGATTGACACGACCCGAGACTTGGGATCAAAGAGGTCCCTGCCTCCCCCTGTCAAAGTCGCTGACTGTCATCTGTTTTTCCCAAATGCAAGATCCGCAACGAACAACGGTGAACAAAAAGCGACGAAGATCCTATCTGTTTCCAGTGGTCGATCTCGATTTTTTCCTCAAAGGCATTGGCACGGCCGGTTTTATCAGATGTGCCCAGAGTTGTGGCTGGCTGTTCTGGATGAAGCTATGCTTCGAAGCTTAAAGCAAGAAGCGGGCCGTTTGGACCGTATTCGAAGATCCACACGCCATTCTATACGCGCATACATAGTTCTACTCAACCTCCCAGGTGCCTCCTAACAACCTCCCCTACTCATTCCCCGCCGTATCACGTTAGTGTCCCGACTGAAGACTGGGAGCCTGATGAAGCTTCTCGGTCTCCTTGCCGGGCTATACGCGTATTCCTGATTCCACCCCCCTCGGATTTTTCCGATGAATCCGATCTGGCGGTTGGTTTGAGTTGAGGCTGAGCTTCGCACCTTCGTTTCCGAATGAGTCCAGTTGAAGAAGAACAGTGACCCCAATGCGGTTTAGCGCAGTCGGTTTGGCCGGTTCGTTCCTCGTCCAACGATGAGAATTCATATTGGCTAAATTCTTCACCCAGATACTACAACTCAAACGATATGCTCCGACATCAGCTTCCATCCAGCATCAAGCCAGAGACCTGCCCTCTTCACAGAAACGCAATCCCACTCCTCACTCCTCCTCATCTTCCACCCAAGTCTTATCATCCACCGAGATCTCCATATCAACATGTTGCGATTCCGGAATGTCGACAGTCGGAACAGGAAGCACAACAGCAGGCTTCGTCGCCGTCTCCTCTCCTTCATAGAAAGAGCGAGGAACTAAAATCCAAAAACAAAACAGTATTAACAAACTGACAAGCCAAAGCCAGGAAATATCAACATCCGTGAATCCCTTACCAAAACTCGAAGCACCAGCACCATCCACCCCCTCCGCCACCGCCGCCGCAGTCCCCTGACACTGACACTGAACCGCCGCTGCTGCGCTCGCGCTCGCGCTTTGCTGCAAAGTGCACATGGACAGCGCAAAAAGCGTCATGGAAACAGTCAGAAGAACGACGTGGACGAGCCAGATCCAGCGGCCCCAGAAACCTCGGTCACCGCGAGCGTTGGTGTTGCTGCTGTGGTGGTGATGGCTATCATCGTTTGACCACCATCTTTGAGGTAGTCTCCACAAAGCAGACAAGGGAGAAGAGCGAGAGGGAGCGGCAACGGCCGCGCTTCGGACGGGGACGCTGAACCAGGGCACAGCTTGCTTCTCTTGGAGGTAGTCCTGGGACTCGAGGTCGTCGTCGAGAGGGACGGTGTAGTAGAGGTTTTTGGTGTTGGATGACATCTTTGCTTTGTAGTGGAGCGGGATGGGATGTGAAGGGTTGACCGAGTGAGGCGTCGAGCTGGAATGAGGCTTGGATTGGACTGGACTGGACTGAACTGGACTGAAGGGCTTGTTGGTTGTTGAGTTTGATGTGGTAAGTGCTGAGATCAAGAAGCCGGAAAGGAGTGGCACGCCAGGTGCTTTGGCTATGAAACCAAATGAATGAATTGAACGAATGAACAGTAACAAGAACTGCGCCTGGCAAGTGAGTGAAGTGAATGAAGAGATGGAGTGGAAAGAGGAAACAAACAGCCAGTTTCATGATGCTGCCGGAAGAAAGAGATATATGAGAAACTCTTCAAGAAACTGAAACCAAACACCTGCAACAGAAGCTAACCCAAACGAACATACGGCAAACGCCTTGAAGCTATCGCGAAACACCAGAGCCCAGCTATGGTAGCATTGAGGGTGAGTTCTGCGGCAAAGGGGCAACTCTTGGCGGTTGTACCAGGGCCCCTGGATCTTGTCACTGTAGTTTGTAAAGACACTCGTCTACGTAGGTTTCAAAACGCCAACGTTGATCGGTTTTATGATGTGCATCTGTGTTCCTCGTCTCAGAGCATTTCACGGAGGACTTCACTTTGACCGATCATGCATAAATGATCTGTCGCGTCTTGATCAAAATAGCTATCAGTGAGCAGCGGCCGTTGGTGATGAGTAGATGAGAAACAACGCCAAGACAGCTCCCTACCCTTCCAGTCTTCCAGATTCCCATAACACCGAAGCCGAGAGCCGAGCTGTCAAGGCTCCCTTCCAGCCCCTGCCTGGACTTGGGAACTCGTCACTCGTCTCCTTGTCTCCTTGACCCCTCGACCAATCCAAAGTTGAAATGTTTCAAGATTTTGGCGAGGAACTGGCGCTTAGCCGGGGTCACGGGGCTCGCTTAAGACTGAAGAAAAAGGGGCACAGCGGCGTGGCAGCCCGCACACCGTAAGATCAGATAAGATCTAAAATCAACTGCGCTGATCAAACACGTGTGTGCAGTCCGAAGTAAAAACGGGGATCAAATTTGATCCGATCCTTTTTTCACCCACGTGCCGTCCTTCCCTTGAAGCAATTACTGGATTGACATCGGATGAAACCGGTTATGTAATCCAATTGGATGGGTAAGGTGAGTCCGGTCAACCTAAGCTCCCAAGGCAACTTCCACTTGTCTGGCAACCAGCACTCTGAGGACAATTTCACTTGTGACTGTTGCCTGGACTCTCTGTCTAACCGGCATGACACGGGCGGAGGCTGGACATATTGCGCTATGCAACCCGCCCTAGTATTTCTCTCTGCCTGGGTGAGCTGATGGCCTTGAAGCGAGGCAAGTTTGAAGCATGCAACATAGGCAGCTAAGCAACAACTGTCTGGGGTGCATATCATCGACATATCGCTCAAATACTCTGTGCAGACACCAGCTGAGCGAATATGTAATCGTTTAACAGTAAATTGGAACATGATAATCGTCTTCGTTCTCAATCCCCAGCTTGACGGAAGGCGGCCACCAGATATACGAGACAGTGCGGGATGCAAAGAACCAAAGGCAGAGATGTGTGTTGGTCAGAACCTTAGTGATCCGTCACAATATTGACTCGGTTGGCAGCCTGTTCCGAAGTAGCAGAAGGCGGTTTATTCATCCCACGTGGGTGATATTGGAAAGCGCTGACACCTACTCAGTTGAGGCCGGAGTTTGAAGCGGGCTAGAGACAGTGCCTTCGAACGTTGGACGAACATACGGGTTGTCCTCCGTTATTCAACATGGGTGTGGGAATAGCAATGAGACCATAAAAGGACTAAAGAGCCGAAGTGCAAGGGAGCATGAGAAGAATTTATGTGACGGATTTGCTGGTTTGTTCGGGGTTGGTACCACATTCACACAAAAGAGGGGAAGGTGATGCATGCGCTTCCGATAATAAGATTGAACCAACGAAGACAGGCGGTCGGGTACACCTCGTCACAGTCGATAGAGACCTGGCTCTACTTTCGCTATCTGCGCTAAGGCGGGGTTTCGTTGACATAACCATGAGACTGGAGGCTTCAAGCATCATAAGATTCGGAGATCGGGAAGAGAGGAAACGGGGCAGTGCCATATAAGGCTACACATGCGATCGACACTTTGTCGCTCCCGGCGTTTCCTGTGGTGGTGCGCCTGCTTGGACCTGAATAGGGTTATGTGAAGAGGTTTGTAAAGGAGAGTATATTCCACTCGTGCACTTGCTTTGACAATGGTGTCTTTCTGACATGAACTGAGTACTTAGCTCACGCCGTCGTGATTCCCATGGGCGTACCCATGCTTTACACGGGACAACTCGACGAGGACAAAAAGTTGTTGTTCCTCGCGAGTTGACGTTGCTCGAACATTGCCCGAACAAAGATGAAAGCAATGCTCGTAAGTCACTGCATACTGCTATTTTGGACCAGATGGCAGTTGGCGAGTTGGTGGGCATTTATCAAGTACACCAGCGGGTCATCGTCATCTCTCACAAGTTGAAGCGATACCGAAGCCGGAAGGATTTTCGTATAAGGTCGGTCGTTTGAAGGAGGCGAACCATGGTTGATCTGGTGTGCTGTATGCAGTAGTATTCATCGAGGTGGCATTGGGAGTTGAGGTTGTGTGTGGTTTGCATTGTTTCAAACCGCATGCTGCGATGGACTAAATGGCAGGTGCTTGGCGGTCAATCTAGCACAGATCGAGCTAGAAAACCAATGTTTCCTTTACCGACACTTGCAGTAGTCACTGTTTGCATAGCCCCTCCGGGTACACGTCGCTGATTGCCTGGATCAATCCGAACTTTGGATGAAAGATGAAAAGGGAAAGAACGTCCCATGTGCAGTCATACGTGCACGCCAGCTACGTGATGCTCGTTCAATGACAAGCCCAGCCACGGGACACGGCAAGCAGACATCAGGGGGTGCGTCCATCAGTGCACTCCCCCAACCCGGGCCGCCCTCTTCGCTTTCCGAGAATGGAACCATCAGTGACCATGTCGGTACGTAACTGGCGCACGGACGCCGTCAATGACTGGGTCTCCAGAATCTCGTAGATCCACTCTTGTGCAGATGCTCTAGCGTGCGCACAGCGCCGCCGCGGCCTGGCTTCTGGCCTTGCCATTCCATATTCTACGCCTAGGCAGGTAGCGCAGGGCACCCTGGTCCCTGCCATCCATGTCGGAACTCGTAGCAATGAAGGGTAGCTCACGGACCATGTGAGGTACTGTCTGAGACACTTGCCGAGCCGAGTGACCTACCCGTTTGCCAGCGGTTTGAGATGAAGTGAGGTACCTCTTGGTCTCAAGATACGACGGCAGGACCTCAGTTCCGTCCGATGTGCTAACTGATGGTGATGACCGGTGGCACCCAAGAAAGCCAGCCGCTGGAGGTGGGACGAGAGGTGGTGTCGCTGCAAGTGGAAATCCACACCGGGAGCCGCCCCAGAAGGAGGAACGCCCAGGTCATTTCTGCCACTTGCTGGCCATTCCACTTCTTTTTCCTTCCTTCCACCTCCTCCCCCCTTTGGCAGCATTACTCGGGAGCAACACCAGCACTTCCTGTCAGCAACCCTCAACTGCTTCGCCCAAATCATCCCAACAACAAACATCGGAATTGGCGCAACGCCAGCATCACCATCCCTATCAACCCCTCGGATTCCGTCATTGGCCCTTGGTTGTGTACAGTGCCATTCGACTAGGGATTTCGAGCCCCCCCGTCCCCATCTTTTGCGTCTTTTCGCGCCGCGATCCGTCCCGCGCGCACGCCATCCCAACGCACGGTAGCTCGACGCTCGACCGACATCACGCCCGGCTGCACCCCAGCCGCATCATCGGCAACCTTACGAGTCGCCTTTGTATCCTCGGGCGCATTTCCGGTTCTCGCTTCTTTCAGCCGATTGCTGCCTTGAGCTTTCACAAACCTGCGCGACCGCCCTAGCGTTCCCGGCTTGGATCTCTGTCCGTTTCTCGTCAGCTTCACCAACACATAGCACGCGGACAACCGCCCCAACTACGCAACATGTCCATGTATCCGCACCGACCCATTGCGGGTGCGCCCATCCAGAATATGGGCCGCCTTAACGAGCTCCTCGATGGCATCAGAATGGAATTCGAATCACAAGCTCGCCAGTACGAGACCTGCCAGCATGACTGTAAGGGTTCCTCCCCACATTCCTCCGCTGGGTGGCCACCCTCCCATCTGGCGATGAGGGAAACCGGCCGTACATGGTGATGCGGGTTGTTTGTGGCCCGCAATTAACGAGCTAGGCCTTGGGACATGTACCCGACTGACCAGACAATAGTGGCAACGCAGCTCCAGGAGCTTCAGGTCATCCGCGAGAAAGTCTTCCAGATGGAGCAGCACCAGATGAACGTTAAGCAAAAGTAAGCTAGTCAAAATCTGGTCAAGCATACCCGAGACTCGAGAGAGGTAGGCTGACGATATCTGGCCAGGTACGAGGATGAGATTGCGCTGCTTCGTCGCCAGCTTGAAGCCCGCGGAGGCCCTCCGGGCAACATGAACCCACCCCCACAGCATCCTGGACAGCAGCAGCCCCCTGCTATCGGTTTGGGAAGCAACGTCTTTAGCGCGATCATGGCAGGTCAGGGAGGACAGGCCTTGGTCCCTCCTCCCCCTCCACCGCAGCAGCAGGAACAGCCAGCACACATGCCTGCGCCCCCCGGGCTTCAGGGTCCTCCTCCCCCGCCCCCGCCGCCGTCCCAGCAGCCTCCCTTCCAGCAGCAGTATCAGGGACCCCAGGGACCTGGTAACTTCCCTCCTCAGCCACCCCAGAGCACTGCTTCTCCTGGCCCTGGCGGCAAGCGTGGCATCGGCAGACCTCCTGCTGGCGGCCCTGCTACTCCTCAGATCAACACTCCGATCCCGTACAACGGCGGCCCTGCTCAGTCGCCTCAGGTCCCAACCCATCCTACCCCGGACCACACCCGGATGGCTCAGCACCACCAGCCTCCGCCTCCGCCTTCTCAGACCAACGCTTTGAGCGAGCTTGATCCCGACCGCCTCCCAAATCACATAAAGAAGATGAAGGACGATTGGTGGGTCATCTTCAACGCGGCCGTTCCCAGGGTACTAGACGTCGAGCTGGTCCACACTCTGGCGCATGAGAGCGTTGTTTGCTGCGTGAGGTTCAGCATGGATGGCAAGTACGTTGCCACCGGCTGCAACCGTTCCGCTCAGATCTACGATGTGGAGACTGGCGAGAAGCTCTGCATCCTGCAAGACGAAAACATCGATCTTACTGGAGATCTCTACATCAGAAGCGTCTGCTTCAGCCCTGATGGCAAGTATCTTGCCACTGGAGCCGAGGATAAGCTCATCAGAGTACGTAACATTGACTTTCCCTTCATTGTGGTCTTCTCTCGCTAACGTGCTCGATATAGGTCTGGGATATTCAGTCGAGGACTATTCGCAACACCTTCCATGGCCACGAACAGGATATCTACAGTCTCGACTTCTCTCGCGATGGCCGCACTATTGCTTCCGGCAGTGGCGATAGAACCGTCCGTCTTTGGGACATTGAAACCGGGCAGAACACGTCTGTCCTCTCTATTGAAGATGGTGTCACGACTGTTGCTATCTCGCCCGACAAGCAATTCGTTGCTGCTGGATCCCTGGATAAGAGCGTTCGTGTCTGGGACATGAGAGGCTATCTTGCGGAGCGCCTTGAGGGCCCCGACGGCCACAAGGACAGTGTGTATAGTGTCGCCTTTTCTCCGGATGGCCGCAACCTTGTCAGCGGCAGTTTGGACAAGACCATCAAAATGTGGGAGCTCAGCGCTCCGCGCGGTATTCCTACTTCGGCGCCTCCTAAGGGTGGGCGCTGCATCAAGACCTTCGAGGGTCACAGGGTACGTTTCTACATTTATATCCCCATCGCCTATTCCTCTGTGACCTTGCTAACGTGCCAATCACTTATCACAGGATTTCGTCCTCAGCGTTGCACTGACTCCCGACTCGCAATGGGTCCTCTCTGGTTCCAAGGACCGCGGTGTCCAGTTCTGGGATCCCCGTACCGGCCACACACAACTCATGCTCCAGGGACACAAGAACTCGGTCATCTCCGTGGCGCCCAGCCCAGTGACTGGTCCCAACGGTGTCGGGTACTTCGCTACCGGATCTGGTGATATGCGGGCCCGCATCTGGTCTTACTCTCGCATATAGGAAGCCGGTGGAGATGCAATGCGAACCCTGAGATTTGACCCGATCCGATTTGCGGCTGCCTACGACGCTTTTCTAGGATTGAATAGGGTAGTCACGGGACTGCCCCGTCGGTAAAGGTAAATTGGGAGAGATCCTAGAGGGAGAGGAGATCAGCGCTACAACGAAAGAGCGAAGAGGGAGAGTGTGCGTTCCCCGGTCAATATTGCGATGTGGACACGGCGTCAAGGAAATCTCTGAAATGAAATAGGAAGGACAACAGAAAGGAATGATGAGAAAGAAACCTTATTAGTTCAATGTTTACCCCGTTTTGGTTTTTTACGGTCATGTCCCTTTCTTGACCCTTGTTTTGACACTTGCTTTTTGATTATGGATTACGGATTTGAATACGGTGGATGGGGAGGGACAGAATTCCCATGCTGGAAAGGGAGAAGTTACATGTTTGGTTACTGGGTATGAATAGAAGACGATCGCTCAATGAAAGACTTGGCTATCCTGGGCCTTGGTCGAAGTTGGAGCTGGATTGTTCATGGTAGTCTCCTGATATTATATCTAGCAAAACCTTTTAGTAGTAGCGTATTCTGGAAAGTCAATTCATCGTGTTCTTTGTGTGTAAGCCTTCACTTGACTTCTTTGATTGGTTCAACCAGTTGAGATATCAGGGGCTAAGTAAACAACATGACGACGTGACGACGTGATCACGTACTAGAAACTGCCATCAGAGACCCAGAGGGAAAAAGGTTATTTCGTCGTCAGGACCGAGTAACTATCTCCGGAGCCGATATAACCTCAAAATGCCCTCGATGAAAGTGGACTTACTCGAAACAACACGAGCAATTCAAATACAATGGTATCTTTTGCACACAAAACGGTACATCCATCACCTCCTCCAACAACCGAGTACACTACGTCTTGACCTATGTAGTCCCCCTTTCACAACCCCCCAAAGATATCATCAAACTCATCCGCCCCCGTCGTCTTCTTTTTCTTCTTCGTCTTGGGTTTCTCCTTTTTGGTATCAAAGGAGGCGAAGATATCGTCCAAGTCATCCGTCTTCTTGGCTTTCGCGGTCTTCTTCTTTTTGGGCTTTTCTAGAAAGGCGAAGATGTCATCGAGGTCGTCCTTGCTTTGTTGTCCTGCTTCTGCTTCTGCTTCTGCTGGTGCTGGTGCTGGTGCTGTTGTTGTTTTCACTTTCGTGGTTGTTGTTGCTGTTGTTATTGAGGTCGTGGTGGCTGTTGAGATGGTTGTGGTAGTAGCCGTTGCGGTGGTGGTCGTCTTCTTCATCTTCTTCTCCTTCTTCTTCTTCTCCTTCCTGGGATTGTCAAATGAAGCAAAGATGTCGTCGATGTCATCTCCATCTCCATCTCTCGTCTTCCTCTTCTTCTTGGATACCGGTGGTGTTGGTTCAGAAGAGGAGTCATCGTCCCTCGGTCTCTTCTTCCCGCTGCTCTTATCCTTGCCCTGCCTGTTCTCTCCTGCTTCTGGTGGTGGTGGTGCTCCAGATTCAGTCTCGGTGGTGGGTAGTGCTTGATCTCGAGCATCTCTCCTCGTCAAGGTGTCTTCCGTGGGTCCAGATGCGGTGGATGCCGACATCATAGCGAGTAACTCTTCCCTTGATACCGCTACGCCGATGTCATTGTGCCGTCGGTTAGGCGCATCGTCGGCTGACTGATCTGTGACTGTAGCGTTGACGGTCGAGCTCCTGTCTTCTGCCGCTTCGTCGGCGGCGGCAGCAGCGTCGTCGTCGATTGGAATGGGGGCGAATGCTGAAAGTGCCTTGTCTACTTGGGCTAGAATGCCGAGGAGCATGAGGCCTAGGTGAGCAAATTGTCTGTCGGCGGATAGTTGGCTGAAGGCGCTGTTGGGTTGTTAGTCTTGGGTCTGGATGAGAAGTTTCTGGGGAGTGAGTGGTCTTAAGGAGGGCGAGCGAGGACAAGGACGTCGAGAAGTGAGCGAGCAACTTTCGTCACTCACACCCTCCGCTCCCCTCTCCCCTCACCGATACCATCTCATCTCCCTCTTCATGCAAACCCCAGAAGGAAAAAAACTCACAAATAAGCCCTAGGCCTTAACTTCCCCCTCAAATACTCCGCCCTCAACTTAACCTCCTTGGCCTGCTTATCTTCCCCCTCCTCACTGCCGCCCTCCTCTTTTCCTTCATCTTTCCCTTTATCCCTCTCCCCCCTCCCCAACCGCTCATCCCTCTCCCTCTTCTTCTTCCTCACCTCCTCCTTCCTCCTCCTCGCCTCCCTCTCCGGCTCCTTATCACACCACTCGTTCGCTGCCTCGATCAGCTTCCGCAGGTGCCGCCGCAGCATGTCGGCTTCGGCCCACCATTTGGACAGGCGGTGCTGGTTCTTGTTGCGGTGGTGGAAGCGGGAGAGGATCTCGAGGGCGGGGGTTAGGGTGGGAAGGAGGGAGGAGGGATCTTTTGGGTCTGGGGAGGAGGGTAAGGAGGAGGAGGTGGTGGTGGTTGTTGGCACTGCGAGGGGGTTTTGGACTTGTTGGGGGAGGGAAGGGTTTGATGATGGTGGTTGTGTCGTGCTGGTTGCTTTTTGGTTGCTGGTGAGTTTTTGTCTGGGCTTCGAGGGTTTCGGTTTTGGTTTGGATCCCGGGTTGCGATTCATTTTGGTTTCTTGGGCGTGACTGTGATGTTATGAAATGGTAGAGTTGGATTGATCGAGTGTCACGGGTGAGGCGGTTGATGTTCAGGTGAACTGAAGAAAGATGGACGTTCGGTGAGTCGGCCCGTTGACAAGGTGAAGAGCCAAGGTGAAGAGCGTGCGGCGTGTCGCGATGAACGATGCGACGAGCAAACTCGACTTTTGAGGCGCACCGCGGCTGGATGAAGTCAATCTTCTACCTTCCCTTAGACATCGATAAGTCTTGCTACAGTTCGCCCATAAATGGTGGTGTTACGGTCCAATTCTTTAGCGACTGTGAGCAAGCGCGCAATACGAAAGGTACGAAAGTAAGCGGGCTGGGGTAGGCAGACTAGGGTGGGCGGGTTAGGGTAGTTGGAGGGAGGAAGAAGGATTTAGCGTGCGAGCTAAAAATCGATTATTTTTCGTTTATTATAATAATGTGCGTACACGGGCTACATACTAAGCCGTACGCGGGCTACAACCCAGGATCCAACCTTACACCCTTACGGAAGGGTTAAGGCAAGCCGCCCCGATAGGGCCGTCGGCTGCCTCCCCGAACACTAGTTTACGATTATCACATATCATGATGAGAGTCAAACAATACCACCAGTCACCACTGTCTTCAGATTCTCACTCGATGATGATGTTGTGACTCTTTATAAGCTAGAGAAGGAGTCATGGTGTAAATTTCACGGCCCCGGCACTACACCCGTGGCTATGAGAGACAACGACTATACTCTTAGCCACACACGCAACGACTACGCCCCCAGCCCGACGCCGTTCAAAGGAAACATGAACGACAATCTCGACCACGATACCAGCAAGCCGATGCTTGCGTACCTACCGAAGAATATCTCCCCCGAAGTGTTGCGTTCTATCGCTCAGTCTGTCTTGATTCTTTTGGCCGCCCTCTGATTGGCCATCCGTTCCCGATCCTTTCTTTTCCGTTCCTCCCTTTGCTCCGGAGTCTCAGTAGCCTTCTTGTTGGCTAAATATTCCCGATCCTTTCTTTTGCGCTCTTCTGCTTCCTCTAGAGTCTCAGTAGCCTTCATATTGGCTAAATATTCCCGATTCTTCCTTTTACGCTCTTCTGCTTCCTCTGGAGTCTCAGTAACCTTCTTGTTAGCCATCCGTTCCCGATCCTTTCTTTTCTGTTCCTCCCTTTGCTCCGGAGTCTTAGTAGCCTTCTTGTTGGCATACTGTTCGTGAGCCTTCCTTTTGCGCTCTTCTGCTTCCTCTGGAGTCTCAGTAGCCCTCATATTGGCCATCCGTTCCCGATTCTTTCTTTTGCGCTCTTCTGCTTCCTCTAGAGTCTTCCTTTTATACTCTTCTGCTTCCTCTGGAGTCTCAGTAGCCTTCTTGTTGGCATACCGTTCACGTTCCTTTCTGTTGCGCTCTTCTGCTTCCTCTAGAGTCTCAGCAGCCTTCTTGTTGCTATACTGTTCGCGAACCTTCCTTTTGCGCTCTTCTGCTTCCTCTGGAGTTTCAACAGCCTTCTTATTAGTATACCGTTCGCGAACCTTCCTTTTACGCTCTTCTGCTTCCTCTAGAGTTTCAACAGCCCTCTTATTAACCTTCTGCTCCCGATCCTTCCTTTTGCGCTCTTCTGCTTCCTCAGGAGTTTCAGCAGCCTTTATGTTGGTATACCGTTCGCGATGGTACTCTGCCATCCTTTGACGCTTGGCTTCGTCTATCTCCTCCTGGGATAGGCCCGCGGTTAACCATCTAGAGGCACGTACCCCTTCCCTCCATGCCCCGTGAGTGCATAAACCCTTATATGGTACCGACGAGCCGTTCCATTTGTTGTTCGTTAATGTGGCATGAGATGGTACTCTATCCGCATATGCGTGGAGTTCATACATTGATGCAGTTTCGAGAACCAAAAACAATGCACGAGCAGATAGCATTGAAAGAGTTGTTGACGGGCATGGTGCTGAGATCAAAATCTTCTTGTGTGTGATTTGATAGCCGTGTTGATGTGCGAGTGTCGTTAGTGAGGAAAAGCCCTCACCATTATCGTAATCTTCGAATCTTTCGTGTGTACCAGTGGTTCTCTTGATTCCGCTGCCAATATAGATCAATGGCAAATCCTCATCCCCGCTATCCTCATCCTCGCCATCTTCTTCCTCGCCATCTTCTTCCTCGCCATCTTCTTCTTCGTCATCTCTATCAACCTGATGCTTTTCCTTTTCAAGGATTAGGAGGTAGACGGAAAAAGCGTGTTCATCTTCGGAAGAGAATTCCGTTAACGACTTCAAAGTCGCCAAGGTGGGAGGGGTTGGGGAATTGAGGATTGTCTGGAGGCTATTATCGAAATTCCAATCTAACTCGAAGTATGTTTCCCAAACAATTTGTGTAGTAGGAATGTGGTCCTTAAGTTGGAGCGGGCGATTTCCGGCATATTGACGATATGCTTTATATGCTTTGCTGATATAACGTGCTCCAAACGTTGTATCTGGTAGCTCTTGGCCCTCGTCGTCAAAGTCATCGTTGCTTGCCGCCATTGTGTCGTTGATAGAAAGGAACCTTCGGACAGAACAAAATCAGAGGGAACAGGGAGGGCAAGTTGTTGCTTGCTGCCATTGTGTCAGAGGGAACAAGGAGGGCAAATAAAATATCCAGTAACAGCATCGCAGAGTTTTCTATTCTTCCTGAGGAAGGAACACTTGACAGCATCGCAGAATTTTCTATCCTTACCAAGGGAAGGAAGGAACACTTGACAGCATCAACCACATCTTATCATACACAGTATTCCCAAATTGCATTACTGGGAAAATGGGGACTCAGAAAACCGTACCACACAGAAAACCGTGCCAGAACGGCGGCTTCTGTATCCTCAGAAAAATAGTCTTCCCCTGGGACGGAGCCAAATCCCAGGTGAGACAGTGAAGCGCCCACGAATGTTCGAAAGCCCCCCACACTCTCCCATGCAATGGAAAACAAACTGCATCGTCCATGACGAAAGATGTCAGAGGTAACTGCCGAGCATAGCTGCGAGTGTTGTGATGGGGGGTGATACGCATTCGAAGTTTTCAGATGGATGTTGAACAACTGGGTTTGAGGTTCCGGGTTAGGGTTATAGCTGCATCTGCAAGACGACGACAGGTTCGACTTACATGTCGTGACGGCACTACCAAACCACGACAACACCCTTGCATCTACCAGCTAACATTGTATTTAATCTCTCTTGCACTTTCATGTTTCAGTCCAAGCCTAATTCTATGTGCTTGATCAGGCGAAGAGACAAAAAAAAAACGTGTGGCTCGTCCAACACAGACGTGAAGTATCTTCACCGCGAGGGACATCGTTTCCGTCTCATAACTCAAAAAGACTGCCTAAATTCCCTCTCTACTTCCTAGGTATCTTGATATCCTCAGCTGCAATAGTCAAGCTTGACTAATCATTCTCATCCGGCCTATTCTCCGGAATCTGGTAGACTCAAAAACCACAAGATCCCAGATGAGCGTGTCTCTTCAAGCGTTCCATCAACGGACAGCTCGACCATGCATCTCATCGCGATCCTTCGTCTAACCGCTGACAAGCACCGAAATTTGTGCGCGCGTGCATGGTCTTGTGATGTACACTACGAGCGTACCTTGCAGACTGTTGAAAAGGATGACATTAAAAATGGGTTCGGTTTAGAATTCTGCCATCCACCTGACCACGTTTTCTGGTGATCAGCAAGGAGATCTACAGAAGTTGCTCGGCATTTGAGAAGGAAAGATCCTGGACTTACAGTGTGTGTATAAAGACACTGTTTGGTATTCGATGGAAAAGCAAGAAAAAAAACACAGGAAGCTCTCTGTTCCAAGGTCGAACTCACGAGGGTTATCGATATGAGATGATATCATCTACTCTTGGGTAGGTATATTCCTCAGGAATTACAAGTCTCCATAAGTCGCCGAAACTATCATATGCACCTCAGTTCGCTTTGATTTGACTTCCAGAAAAAAAATGAAAAAGGACGATCTTGGTCTTCATCTTGCTGTTCGCTGAAGATCTCGTAGTCCAGACTCTTTGATAGACAGAAGAGAGTACACGTGTAAAAGCTGACCGTAGATTGTCCTTGGATGAATGGTAATCACCAGACACATATGGATGCCAAAGCGGTCTCTATCATCCGATCTCCTGTGAAAACTGACTCCCCCTTTTGTACAACACGTGTTCACGAAATATAGATCGGATGGTGGTTACTTGTTCTGGACGAAGGCGTCTTGAGCTTGTCGACTGACTTGTTGATTTCGATGAGGTTCACCGGTTCATGAGTTCCTTCTCCATATCTATTAGGTAGAACGTCGCAAAACCGGTCTTGAAAATACGCGGAATTTCCCATGACGATGTAAAACTTTCCAGACTCATCAGGACTCAAACTCGCTTCAATTCTTCAAAGTTTTGAGATCCACCAGAAACCATGTTTGAGACGGAGGTGGGTTTTACCTACACACACTGTGAGCCACAAGTACAGTATGGAGTAACATGGTCTATGTTTCTGAGTTACGGGGAAACAAACTGACACTGTGAACGTCCAAAAAGTTGACGACGGCATCATCGGCCGCTTCCAAAGCGGAAAGCGGAGTATAAGTGCTCAGTACCTTGTATGCTTTGCTTTGTTTGGGAGAAAATGCTTGCAATGCATTAACATACACCGCTCTAGACTTTTCTCTTTTCGACAAGTCAGTACACCGCCATTTGTATGGGGCGAATTTTGTTCTCTCGAATTTCTCGAACATCTTCCTCAGATCGAAAATACCGAAAATGTTGTTCCACGCTTTTGGTAGTTCAAGCTCAATGTAGAACATTGAGGCTCTTCGATCGCGAGCGAGCTACTGCAATTATTAGTGTATGGTATGCTTTGACGTTTGCTTCCCAGTGTAGAGACGTGAATGATGTGTCCAAGCCCTCTCCCCAAAACTTCATCTCTTTGATGCTATTCATAGCCCACAAGCTCCATCACCGCTCGCCCTCTGGGAAACGCGATGGTACCCAAGACCTATCCTCGAGCAAGGAAAACGAATTCCGTAGCGGGTTTTTTGCCTTTCCATTTTCCAAAGGCCTTCTGAAACTCCGCTATAATGCCCACTATAATCACCGATCACGATTCACGATAGAAGGCTGGAACCCACTAGGGTCGTGTGCTAATCGAGTCATCGAACAGAAGTGAAGACCATCCCAAACAAAAAGTCCAATCTAACAAAAGACCCGCAACACCTCCCGGTTTGCCCGTTTTAGCATTCCCGACGATCGTGATCGTGGCCTTTGGGTCGGACCTGAAGAAAAAGACAGCCCCGTACGGCGTTTTAAACTTCGGTCAAATTCAATTATGTTTGTACGGTGAAGGTGAAGAGATTTTCCCAGGGTTCAATGTAATCGAACCAACAAAGGAAATCGAAACCGAAACGACGGCGCTGCAGTGTTCCAGAGTCCGGACATGGATACAGTAATCGTTGCGTGTGCGATATCGGAGACGACGCCGGGCTAAAGAACATGTGGAAGCGGGAGCGGGTTAGCGGGTTTCTGTCAATGTCAGTGTCGAATGTCAAATGGAATTCTGGAAGACCCGCCTGCCAGTTCGGGGACGCCGAGGCCGTATCTTTCACTAGTGAAAAGTCGGGAAGATGGGAAGTTTGGCTTGAACGGTAGGTGGTCCGTACTGACCGAAGACTATCTGCCTCGGGTGGTTCCTTCTGTGACAGGCTCTCGACATCGCATTGCTCCTGCCATGTTTTGAGTATTGCTTGATAATGAACTTGAAACTTCCCAGGTCATTACCTGTCCTCATGAGTACCTCTACGGCTGCCCGTCAATGTTGAAATAGGAAGGTCTGAGATGAGTGGTTACGTAGAATAAAGAAAGAGAGATGGAGCTTTGCGATTGCGGCTCCGCAACTTCCAGGTTGCCGAGCGGACCGGTTGCAGACTCTCAATGTGCGAAAGATCTGATCGCTCCGGTAAACCATCGACCGCGGAAACCGGGGATAAATCTGTTTCTATAGTGTATTATATGCTTCCAAGGATTTGTGTATAGGGTTTGCAGCAGGAAGAACAAGAAGCTTCTCGGCGTGATGTCTCATATCATATGTACTCAGGTTCAGGGCACTGTAATCGACGGATAAGCCAAGGATAACCCAGTGTGATATCTCCCGTACCTTGCAGCTTGCGGCCCGGTATCTTTTTTTGTCCGAACGTTCGGCAGCGGGGAGGGAAGGTCCCTTTTTTTCCAGGTTCTGCAGCGATTTGACTCTTACCTTACCTAGATCCGTCCCTCTAGGGCAGTCCAGCTCGGCATGTAAGCGGTAGGTAAGCCAAGCAGACTGGCAGACCGGAGATGTGATGGGGGGTGATTGATGGTGGGGAGGACAAGACAAGATTCAAACCAAGATGCGCGTCATGTACACTTGCACTTACACCATCATCCATAAAGGTACTCATCCAAGACACATATTGTCTTGGTGTGCTTGGGTGGTTATTGCATCACCTCGCGCCATTATACGGGCGATGTTGGCGAACGGCGAAGTGATCTCCATATCCGGAAGCAGTTTGTCGCAATTCTTCTGTGTCATTGCCTATTCCACACCCTGGGTGTTGACAGACAGACAATTGGGTTTTTTTTTTTCCCCGTGAAAGCCAGATAGACAACGGCCCCGAAGAATGAGATCATCGCTCCATTTTCAAGCCCGACGGTAGTAGATCAGGAGCGAGAGCTGCGTGTTTACATTTCCTTCTCCGAATAGTTGCGCCCCGAATAACATTGGCCGTTGTCATGAGTAACCGCTTCTCCGGTAGCGAGGGGCGAGAGACCAAAGGGCAACGGGCGGGTTCACTGTCTTGGATGCAAGTGTCTCCGTCATCTAAGAGGAGGAAATGAAGCTATCCGCCTAGAAGCTCGTCATTCATTCTCGAGATGGCAACGGCATTGGAGAGGACAATTGCTCAACCATACCCTTAAAGATGTTGAAGGTCGAACAAAATGCGTGATAAGGCATCATCGACTTTATTCACGTGGCACAGAGTTGAAGCGTTTCCTGACGTTGCTTGTCATCGCCCGTTGCCCGCCGGCCCACACTCCTCGCTGCCCTGCCCTGTCGGCTATTGTCCCGTTCCCGTCCAATCCCAGAGCTTGGCTGAGGTGGGCAGTTAATCCAATCCTATCTCCGAACTTCTTCATGAGGGGGTGATAGGGAAGGGCCGGATTCAGAAAGCCGATAAGATTTGGTTCCTTGCGTGATGAGATAACCACCAACAAAGAGATGGCTCTTGTCTCTGCAACCCTACTGGATACTTGGGCCAAGACAAGACATGGCTTGTTCCCGAACGCTTTTTGAGGTCTGGCCCTTCCACGACCTTGTGGCGGTCCGCTGTCCCACATGAGCCGGTGAGCAAGAACCCTTGCTTTTCGGAATACGGCCCTCGAGGGGCGCTTTGTGGTGCTACCTACATCTCGGTCAAGATGTAAGGGAGCGGTGCCGGTTTGTGTACCCTCTAAATAGTTTGTGGTCTCTTTGCTATGCTTGAAAAAAGAGTGTTGATATCCTCTACAGCATGAGACCTCATTACCCGGTGTTTTTCTGGGCAACGTTGAAGGCAGTTTTCCGACAGTAATTTGATATATAAACGACCAGGCTTTCGTTATATGGTTCGATAACTTACGAAAAAGCCGATGAGCCATGAACTCGGACACATGGGCCGTGTCAATGATCTAGATCTTTCAGGTACCAGATGCAGAACACTTTTTTCTGACCTACCTTCCCAGAATCTGGAAGTGAACCCTGGAATACGGAATCTCGATGATGCTGAAACCTGACGATGTCACGTTGATTTCTCGGTCGGCCGGGTCTGTCTGTGTGTTGTCAAGAGTGGGGCCGCCGTCCCCGTTCCGCAAGTGCTTCTCGGTGTTTTCCGTCCAAAAGCAATAACGGAGCGGAATATACGTGGAGATTTCTGCCCATCCAGACCTGGCAAGACTGACCTGAGACCGGCGGATGGCGGGACTGGTGCCCCGGAAGATCATGGCAGCATGGCACCACCAAACATGCTTCGGCTCCATCCCCGCTGTCCGGTCCGATCTGGGAGAAGGCCTCTCACCCAATCTCCATGCCATGCACTGCAAACTCTGCAGCCGGCCCGTCAGGAGCTGAGGAACGTTCCTGGCTGTCCCCCTGAAGAGGCGGCATTGCACAGGTGGGTTAGGCCGGGGTTAGTGGGATCTTGTGGGACAGCGAGAAGCTCTCCCCACACAATGGGCCATGGACCGATGGAGCCTCCCTTCGGTTCCGGCCTGACGCCTGTTGCTATCGTCGAACAAGACATCGCGCCCAAGGTGAGAAAGGCGCCGTCGGTAACCACGGCACACCGTGGGCATTTGCTGGCAAGGCACGCAGGGCAACGCAGGGCTGGCCGACCGAAAGAGGGGCGGTAGGCGGTAGTCGTACCCAAAACCGGGGACACTAGACAGGCGCCGATGCAACTCTGATAAAAAAAAAGTTTTTCTCTTGCTTCCTTGCCAGAGAAATTCCTTGGTTTGGGGAGGGCGGTGGACCTGGCTACCTGAGGCCGTTCCAAGTGGCATCAATCACAGTGGGTGAGGATGACATCGTCGGGTTCCAGACGCCTGTGACAGAGCCACAGAGAGCGTGCTGGCAAAGTCGGAATGCAGATTTGGAGAATTGGGCGTGCGAAAGAGTGGACTTTGGGTCGCTATTTCTCGTGACGGGAACGCGCGGTGCTTTGTCTCTGAAAATTTGCTCGCTTCTCTCAGGAGGCAACAAGGGATCGATCGACGAAGGAGGCTCTTCCAGTGGTCGGCTCTCCGCAAAAGGAAAGGTACCTTGTGGGGAAGCGAGAGAGGGTGAGTTTATTCAGTCACCGGTGTAATACTGCGGGCGGCATGACGGATAGCAACAGGAGCGCTATCAATGACCATTGATTAGTGCCCACGAGAACGGTTTGTTGGTGTCAAGCAACTTATCACTATCTGTGGATTATTTCTCTCTGTGCGAGGTGCGAGAGCGGCATCGGGATCATGGATAGGGAATTGAATGAGTCGTGAGACCCTACCATCATGTACAGTGCAGTCATTAATTACACGTGCAGATAAGAGTGGTAGAAATTAATCGGACAACTCTGACATCGCACAGTTACGACGGATGCTGTGCTCTCTTGTTCCCCGCAAAACGCGGATGACGCGATGGCTTGAATCTTTTGCTCGGGCGCTTGGCAATCAATGTCAATTCGGGATCCCTTGCGATAGGGGCGACGACGTTGTTTTGACACCTTTTTGCAGACCTCTTGAATAGTCGAAAAGGCCCAGCCGGGTACTCGTCGGTTAGGGGCACGCACTGGCCACAGCCATGTGGGACCACCCTTTGGGGGCCCGCTTACAGCCAGCCAACCGACTCTCATCGTCCCTTTGAGAGTCGGATTTTTTACATATAACGTGCAAGCTCTATAACGGTATAGAATCTGCACTCAACTATAACATTACTATTCTTTACTACATTATATTATAAATAACTTTATTCTACTCGTCTCGTCATATTTGATCTTTTACATATACTTTCATTATACTTATATTTAACCCTAACGTTACATCCCATACAGAGAAGGCTGCTTAATATTTTATTACAGGTTAAACCAAAACTATAACCCGATCTACCACCTCACAATCCAAAGCCAACACTAAAGCCAAAAACAAAGGGAAAGTCACGTATAAGAGTATAAAAGAGTTATTTAATATTAATAAAACTATTGTCAAAAAGTATATAATACTTGTTAAAAAGGGCAAGGCTCTACCGATTAATATAGAAGTATATCGACTTCTAGCCCTAATTATAAACGAGGATAAAGCTTTCAATATTATAGTCCAAATCGTTGACTACGGCTACTTCCCCTTGAATAATGTCTCCTTCATTAAACTAATTAATTAGTTACGAGCTTAACGGCTATACCCCCCCTCTATTAACTTCTATAGAAGGTAGTTTATAAAGTAGCATAAGAAGTATCTAGAATTAGAATTCAAAGCGGCTAGCTTTAAAAACGTAAAAAAGGTGAATGTTGAGGCTTAACTAGACTCCCTTAAAAATTAGTTCAAAGAGGTAAAGGCTATATATAATAACTTTAATATTAAGGAAGAGAACGATTAGAATATAAATAAGTCTCCCTTCTAAGTAAGGGAAATTAAAGGAATTATAAAGGTATAAGGGTAGATTTCCCTTATATTATTACTCCCTATACTAAATTATATAATAATAAGTATTATTTATAAAGAACTGGGCATATACGAGAGGAATTATATTTAACGCTAATAATAAGGAAAGTCTAATTACTATCGATATTATATCAGCTACGGCTAAAAATATCCCTTCATTCCTAATATTTAAAGCACAAATTATAATAAGGCTCTAGCTTTGTTATTTATAATTAAGCCTAATTTCACTTAATTAGCTACGTTTATACTAATTGATTTATAAGTATAAGGGAACGTGTAGGCTAATTATAAAGTTAATCTAAATATAGTTATTACTAATATATTAATTAGATATAATAATACTCATTATATATTATAGTAGATTAAGTACTTTAATAAATATTTCTTTAAATTATCCCCCTCCTTCAATAGCTATACTATCGATAATTAACTCGGTCTATTATTTAATTACCCGCCTCCCTTTAAAAAACTAAAACCTTCTAAAAGGGATAAAATAACTATTAATTTTAGGTTAATTACTAAACCAAAAGTATATTAAATCCTTTTTATAAATAGATTTAAAGCGTACGAGGACCTATATATTTTATAATATTATAAAGCGCTCGATATTATTCCTTTTACTCTCCCCTCTTATATTAACTATATATTTCAATTACTTAATATAGGGGTTTATTAAACGGTTAAGAAGGTTTATTAAAAGGCTTTAATAGACGAGATTATTAGTAGGGCTATTAATATTAACCGTATAGTCTTCCTAAATAACTAAAAGAAAGTTAAGAAGGCGGGCTTTATTCGAAGTAATATATATAAAGAATAGGAAAAGATTAATCTTTGGCCTTTTAAACCCAACGTCCCTCTTAATAAATTATATAAATTTATTAGGGTAAAATAAGGATTTTTATTCCTTTACTGACTTGAAGCTATAATTCCTTGTAAGGTACTACGTACGTTAGAATTACTAGCGATTTAATAACGTATTAATAAATATAGTTCGCTTATTAAAAAGGTTTATAATAAGGTTAAAATTACCCTTAAAGTATCTATCAATACTTAAAAGCTAGTATATAATTAGTAAGAATACTAAAAGCGCCGTATCAAAGTAGAAGCTTAAAAGTAGAACCCTCGTAAATATATTTTTATTAGCGATAGAGCCCATATAAAATAGGTTTTTAATATTAAAGTTGTAGTAAGAAGGGTAATTATTATAGAGGAAGGACTAAAGGAAATATAGCGAGTAAATCTTACCTTCATTAAAAAGGTCGCCCTCGAAGAGAACTCTAGCCTTAAGTAATAGTTACTACGCAAATCTAAGGCCAAGAAGAAGGTTAAGCCTAATCCAATTAATAAGGCTAATATTTTTAACGATTATAACGTCGTTTGTATTATTAAGGACGACCCAAAGTATAATATAGTATTGAAGCTTAAGAAAGGGTAGGACGAAATTATTATTAATAATACCCGGCGTACCTTCTTAATTAAATAATAGGGATCTAATTATTTATATTATATATTAAAAATAAAGCTATAAAAGGTTTTCCAATCTAAATGGAACCTCAATATTTTCTTAATTAATATTGAAAACAAAGTGAATAAACTCTATAAAACTATAAGGAAGGCTACCCTTCCTAATTATAATAAAAACTTCGTACCTTTCAAAATATACTGTTATAGGGCTAGAGCCTAGGGGTTAAGTTTAGCTGTTGCCAAGCCGTATTGTCCTTATCGATAGGGTACTTGCCTTATCGATAAGGATGCGGGCCCTCTGGTTGGCTAGACCCATATAATTGCTTGGCTCGTGCGCATATACATAAAACCTTCTTCCGACTACACCCTTTTAGTATAGTCTTTCCTCTCTTGCTTCCTTTGTCAAATATAGTATTTTAACTTTATACGATTGTTCGTTATATAATATTCATTTAGACCCGTTATATTATATTTAATTACTCTTTTCAAATTAATACTGTTACCCTTCTTTCATAAGTACGTTAAAGAGTTCTCTCCCTGTTACTTTCGTCTCCTTTAATAACGAAATTTTTATCTACCTCCCGCCTATTGCCCGGACCCCCATCCCTTTCGATAATAGTACTAACTACTTTCCTTACGATTCTTTAGTTTTAGGATCCTTAAGAACGTTTATAATAATTTACGGCCGCTTTCTAAACGTTATTAACTGAAATTATTTCAAAACCCGCCACCCTGAAGTCGGTACTTCTTTAATTCGAGAAATTTTTAAGGGATAAAGAGGAATTTGAAATTTAGGGTTTAAACACGTAGGCTAAACTCTATATAAATAGATTCGCTATTAATAATATAGAAATGTAATTTTATTATTTACTCGCTTACTTATTATTTATTATTAAAAAACTATTTATTATATTTATTAATTCCCTTATATTATAATCGCCAGCTACTCTTATTAATAAACTTAAGTTTATATATAGGGACCCTAACGTTATTAAAAGGGCCGGATAAGAAATTTACTGACTTTATTAGAAATTAGGCGAATTAATAACAATTTTCTTCGCCTGCTTCAAAAAAGTATTTTACCGAATTTGTATTAATTTATGGTTAAAACTTACTAAGGTTAGTTAGCTAACCGCTACTTTAAATCACGATTGGAAGCAATGTTTTTCTAA